AGCCTGGGGCTCACACACCTCCCCCAGCTCACCAGCTGGGAGGAAGAGAAAGCAGACAGAGTGGTTGGCAGAGCTGGAAATTCCACCCAGAGAGGTTAGGGGACGCCCGTGTGACCCAGCAGTTCCCCACCCAGGGCTCCCGGCTCCCCACGCACCTGGAACAGGTGGAAACTCACTGATGGGCAGGAGGAGAAGGGAGGATGGGATCCAGGTAAAGCCCAGGCCCCTCAGCCACCCATGCCTCCTCCCCACACACTTGCCCAATAATTACAGTTACAACTCATTCCTCTGGATTCCTTCCTTCCTCATCACATCGCCTCCCTGGGAGCTAGGCCCTCTGGGAAGAGAGGATGAAAAGGAAGGAAAAAATGTCCCATCTCGTTTCCCCCTTAAGCAGCCCAGCTTCAGAGTCCTCCTGACTTCTCTAGAAGAAAGCATAGCCCAGAGAGGGTGAGTGAAGTGCCCAGGGTCACACAGCAAGAAAGAACCAGCGGGGCTGCCAACACCAGGCTCCTTCCCTTCCCAGGATGGCCTGCCCCCTGCTCTGGCTGTCAGGACTCTGCTTACTTACTTCATTATTGTCATGGTTATTACTATTACTAATTGCAAGCTTTCTACATGCCAGGCACAGGGCTCAGTGTTTCCTATGGATTGCTTTCATTCGTCACTCACTCAACTCATCTTTAGTGAGCATCTACTATGTCCCAGGCACTTCGCTAGGTGCTGGGGAGAGAGCTGTGAACGAAGCCGGCAAGGATCCTCTCCTCCTGGAGCTGACATTTTAAGGGTAATGGATGATGCTCAAGTAAACTAGTACATGAACCAGTTAATTCCAGACAGAGGTAACGTGTCAAAATTGAGCCTGGTAGTTGTGGGAGAGTGTGGGTGGCTCCTCTTGCCAAGGGTCTCTGGCCACCCTCCCGGAGGAGTGGCCTGGAGCTAAGAGTTTGACGATGAAAATGAACCACGCGATATCTTGGGAAAGAGCACTCCTGGCACAGGGACAGCAAGTGCAAATGCCCGGGCAGGATGGAGCAAACAGAAAGTAGGCATGTGTGAAGGATCAGCCAGCAAGGTCAGCCTGTCTCACTGAGTTTTCCTAACACTCAGCAGGGAGGATTGTTAGCATCAGATCTATTTTGCCGAGGAGGAACCTGAGGCCTGGCGGGGGTCACACAGCTGCGAGTGACGGCCCATGCTCCGACCACCTTCCTTCTCCTGTATGCCAGGCCTTATGTGGGGGATGCAAAGGTTTAAAACAAACAACAACGTCCTCCAGGAGCCCTGAGCCCTGCAGAGACCTGATCCTCACAGAAGAGGCCCAGGAAGAGCCCAGCCAGGTCTCACGGCTCCCCCAACGACCCTGTGCCTGGATGCAGAGACTGGGTTCTAACCTGGCTCCCCCACAGTCCTGCGGTGTGACCTTGTGCTGGCCTCAAGCCCTCTCTTGACTCCTCATTCCTTCCAGCCTGGCCTGAAGGAGACAGCGTGGGACAGGAGTCCTCAGCCCCAGGACAGGATGGGGACACCCGTAAAAGGAGGGTAGCAGGGGCGGCCCTGCTGCCTGGGTCCCTGCCCAATATGGGGACCTCTCCACCCAGCAGACCCCAAAGGGATAAGGTGAGGCTGACTCCCGCAGCATGGTGCTGCCCCCTGGTGGCCATATAGGGATGGTGGGGTGCCCAAGCACATTGTCCATCAGCCATTCATTCACCCTCAGAGTGTCCCGTTCAGGCACTGCAGCCAGGATCCCAACCCTGGGTTAGGAGGGCCGTCATCCTCAAAATCCCCAAAGAAGGCAGTCTCCAGCCCCATCCCAAGATGTGTAACCGCAAGTCTATACCAGGACCGTGGGGCCTGGGGTGTGATATCCAGGGGGTTTGAAGCGAAATGGGGCTGGGCTGTGATGAGTGCATCATGCAGCTCATTCATTTGTTCGTTCATTCACTAGTTCATTCGTTCACACATTGCACCTGTATTAACTGAGCACCTCCTCCATGCCGGTGCTGGGGGAAGCAGTACACCGCACCTCAGACACCAATACATTCCGGGGTGTGGACGCCGTGGGTATTGGTAAGGAGTTGGAGGGGAGGGCAGGGGTCGGCTGGGAGAGGGTCAGCTGGAGCCAGGCATTCCTTTTCCCAGGAAGACGGCGCCTTTGTGGGAATCAGGAAAGGGCTTCCTCAAGACACTTTCCCCCTCTTCAGCTGAAAAACGGTGTAAGGGTGCACGGATCTATGGCGCCCGGATAGAAGCGGCACTGGCTGCGCTGGGCACACCTGCCTGCACACTGACCCCTCCCTTCCCAGGTGGCACCTTCACCTTGATCAGACTGCACAGCTTAGCCTGTGCTAGACCTTCACATAAATAGAATCACAGGAGACGTACTCTTTTAGGTCAGGTTTCTTCTTCTTAAATATTTTTTTATTGATTTCAGAGAGGAAGGGAGAAGAGACAGCAACATCAATGATGAGAGAGAATCACCAATCAGCTGCCTCCTGCACGCCCCACACTGGGGATCCAGCCCACAACCCAGGCATGTGCCCTGATGGAGAATTAAACTGTAACCTCCTGGTTCATCGGTCGGCCCTCAACCACTGAGCCACGCCAGCCGGGCAGGTCAGGTTTCTTTTGCTCAAGATCATTTTCTGAGATATATTCATCTGCTGAGTACATCAGTGATTCATTGTCTTTATTGCTGCACAGTAATCCTTGGTAGAAATATACACAATCTGTTTATTCACTCACCTGTTGACAAATATTTGGGTTGTTTCTAAATTTGGGGTATTCTGAATTTTCTCATGTGGGTCTCTTTTTGAACACGTTTTTATTTCTCCTGGTAAAAATCTGGGAGTGGAACTGCTCCCTATGGCTTTCTTGATTTCTTTCTTTTTTGTATATTGCCCTTCCTATGTTTTCTTCTGTGAAGAATCTGTTCTGATCTTTTGCCCACTTTTACTATTGCATTTTTTAAATAACTATTTCTGAGTGGAGGAGATGTTTTATATTCTGGATACCTGTGCTTTTTGTCACACATATGGACTGCAAATATCTGCTTCCAGCCATGGCTTGCCTCCTGTTTTCTCTGTGGTGTCTTTTAAAGAGCTGGCTCTCTGCTCTGATGAAGTCATTTTTTCAGGTTTTTCTTTTATGGCTTGTGCTCTGTGTCCCCTGTAAGAGATCTTTTTTTTATTATTAACTTGTTTTTATTGATTTCAGAGAGGAAGGGAGTGGAAGGGGGAGACAGAAACATCAATGATGAGAGAGAAACATCTATCGGCTGCCTCCTGCACACCCCACATTGGGGATCGAGCCGCAACCTGGGCATGTGCCCTGACCGGGAATCGAACTGTGACCTCGTGGATCATAGGTCAACATTCAACCGCTGAGCCACACTGTCTGGGCCCCAGTAAGAAATATTGGTAATCACATTTGTTTGTTTGGGGTTGCTTTCAGTGTTTCAGTGTTGCTTTGCTCTTTTTTACATACTTTCTTAGTAATTAGAAAAAATATGAGATAGTTCCAAAGTCAACTCAATATAGCAAAGTATATTTAGAGAGGGCCTGCTTTCACTCCTGTCTCCCTCAACATCAACCACTTTAGTTTTATTAATCCTTCCTTTATTTCTTCTTGGAAATTATAGGCCTCCCTCCCTGTTTTCTTACACATACAGTAGTACTATCTATATCTATATCTATATCTATATCTATATCTATATCTATATCTATATCTATATCTATGTCTATATCTATCTATATCTATCTATATCTATCTATGGAGGTTATATATATATATACACACACATATATCTTGTTTGTTGTTCTTAGTGCTCTATCCTGGAAAAACTACATCATAGTAATAAATGGGGATTTTCCTTTTTCTTTTTTCCTCCTTCCTCTCCCTACCCCCTCCCTCCAATCTCTCTCTCCCTTCTTCACTCCCCTCTCTCCCTGTATTTTCCACAGCTGAAGAGTTGCTATACATAGAGACATTTTTAGTTTTTGTCTAGTTTTTGCTGCTGCCTTGAAGAGCCTTGTGTTTGGTCATTTGACATTTTTGCTGGTCTACCTTGGGGATGGATTTCTAGAAAGTACTACTAGGTCAACGGGTCCCAACCTGCAACTCTGCTAGAGACTCGCCCTAGCTCTTGGTTGCTGCCAGCCTGAGAGCCCTGCAGGCTACCCCGGACGTTCCCCAGAACAGCGCGGCGCCATGGGCAGCCACAGAAAACACTATCCAGGCGTGTGCCTGTGCGCACAGATCCAGCCTGCGCTCTCCCTGGCCAACCCCAGCTAAGGCACCGGGCCAGCGCGCACACGGTGGGAGCATCTGTCCTGGGCTACTCAGGCCACTGGTCACTTCACAGTGACCATGCTGGCTTCGTGCGCTGCGCCTGGCTGACCCCTATAAGGTAGCTGTTATTACCCCCATTTTACAAACGGTCAGCCAGGGGATGGAGGTCAGAGAAAGTGAGGGTCTTGCACAAGCTCACAGCTAAACCAGCAGGAGAGGCAGTTGAGGTTGTGATACACACACACACACACACACACACACACACACATTATACACTGTAGTACAGGTGTACATATGTGTACATGTATATACATGTGTGGACACATAGACCTGTGTTCACACATCTGTACCTAGACAGACCCGTGTGCATACCTATTTACTGAATGCGTATACCTACATACACATGTGCATGTACATACACCTACTTCCAAGTAAGAGACATGAGCGTCCTCACAGCTAGATCTCTGAGCGCAGGATCGATCCCTCAGAGCAGCGTCGCCAGCTCCCAGCAGATTCACGTCTGCGAGGCCCGGGATCAGGGCGCCCACCCTGCCTGTGATCAGGGGCTGGCTTGCACTCTGCCCACAGCGGGCGGCGGACACGGCGAAGGGCCATCTTCAGAGAGACCCAGCTGGGCGCCTGGCAGGCTGCCCTCCGGCAGGGCCGGGCTGGAGCTGCCCTCGGCCATTGTGAGGACACACATCACAATGGCTGTTCCACCCGAGCCAGGCCCAGCAAGGGGCCCCGGAGGCCTGCACTCCTGTCCGCGGGCCGCCGGCCGCCATGAGGGCTCCTGGGGACAAGCGCTCGGCCGCTCAGAACTCGGAACCCGATCCTGCTCGGATACCATTGCTGGAACAAAGGGCCTCCGGGGTCCCAAGATGGAACCCTCCCATGGGTGAGAGTGCCCTTCAGTGCCTGGGGGAGGCCAGGGACGGGCGGAGGGCGGGGCTCGGGGAGTGGAGATTATGTGTCCCCTTGCTGAGCTGGTCGCTCACTCCAGTCCTCACCCCCCAAGTCCTGCTCTCCCCCACCTGGGACCGTGTTTCCCAGGGGGACACAGTGGGCCTTCACACCCTGTGCCCTCTCCTAAAGTGCCACAAAGAAGTCGCAGAACAAAGCCAAGGCCTCCCCCAAGTCAGGTATGGCCTGCCTCCTCTCCCAGCTGCCAGCGTGTGCCCAGACACCAGGACAGATGGGGTGGGGTGGGGTGGGGTGGGGTGGGGTGGGGTGGGTTAGGGATACAGTTACAGTTAGGGTTCTGGCCATGCTGATGTGAGTGTGGGTAAGTCACAGAATCCCTTTGAATCTCATATGAGAACTGGCTGAGAGGATTAAGAGATGAGGTAGGAATGGGCAGGTGCTAACTCAGTGGAGATTGGGAGTTTCTAGTTGGCAGCCCTGGACCAGGTACTGAATTTCTGACCTTCAGTTTTGTCATCTGTAAAATGGGTACAAAAATGAAGTGGAACTGCTGGAGTCAGCGGATGAGTATGAACCCTTTTCCTGTCCCTGAGAGTCTAGACCAGCTGTGGGCAAACTACGGCCCTCGGGCCGGATCCGGCCTGTTTGAAATGAATAAAACTAAAAAAAAAAAAACCGTACCCTTTTATGTAATGATGTTTACTTTGAATTTATATTAGTTCACACAAACACTCCATCCATGCTTTTGTTCCGGCCCTCCGGTCCAGTTTAAGAACCCATTGTGGCCCTCGAGTCAAAAAGTTTGCCCACCCCTGCTCTAGACTGTGTGGCAGGAAGTGCGGAGAAACTGTTTTCTTGCTCCTACTCTGGGTAAAGGCATTGGAGGGGAAACCCAGGGTCCCCTCTTCCCCCCAAATCATGAAGCTCCTTTCCTGGGAGGGTCAGGTTCCCGTGCAAAGCACTTGGACCCAGGGTCCCAGAATTTCTTGCCCAAACAGCCCTCCACCTGCGTGCTGGTCCCGAGGGCTGGCCAAGAGCTGACTGCTGGGGGTGCCGAGGGACAGAGCTGGGTGTCCGCACTTCCAGAGGCCCCTTTCAGGGCAGGAGGGACCCACGGTGGGAAGAATGGAGGAGACCCCAAAAAGCCTCTCCCAGAAGGAGCAGGGGCAATGTCGCCGCTTCTGGAGCCGTCCTGTCCAGAGGCCAGGGCGCGGCCCGGAGTAGCATGTGCTCTGGAGGCTTCTTAAGTTCCGTCCTTGACTCTGGTACTTATTTACCGGGGGCCTCAGGCATGTTAACCTCTCTGAGCCTAGTCTCCACATCTGCAAAACTGGAAAAATTTTCAGGCACCACACAGCTACCTCCCTGGTGTTTTGGCAAGAATAAGTGGAGGGGTGTAAAGTGTTTAGTACAGAGATTGACACATAACAAATGCTTCAGATAAGATTTAAAAAAAAAAAAAAAGGTGCCCTAGCCAGTTTCTCAGTGGTTAGAGCATCGACACACTGACTGAAGAGTGGCGGGTTTGATTCTGGTCAAGGGCACATACCTTGGTTGCAGGCTCGATGCCCGGCCCCCGTCGGGGCGCATGTAGAAGGCAGCCAATCGCTGTGTCTCTTTCATACCCATGTTTCTGTCTCTCCCCCTCCCTTCTACTCTCTCTAAACATCAATGGAAAAATATCCTCAGGTGAGGATTAAAAAGAAAGGAATTATAGGGCCCTGTGCAGTTCCCCACCCTCAGCTCCCTGGCACTGCCTCTAGGGAGGTCTTACCTCCTAGGACAATGAGGGCACACTGGAGTCTGAAATGCCTGGGTTCACCTTTCAGCTCCTCCATCTATTAGTGATACAACTTGATTCATTCCTCTAGCCCAGGGGTGGGCAAACTTTTTGACTCGAGGGCCACAATGGGTTCTTAAACTGGACCGGAGGGCCGGAACAAAAGCATGGATGGAGTGTTTGTGTGAACTAATATAAATTCAAAGTAAACATCATTACATAAAAGGGTACGGTCTTTTTTTTTTTTTTAGTTTTATTCATTTCAAACGAGCTGGATCCGGCCCAAGGGCCGTAGTTTGCCCACAGCTGCTCTAGCCTCAGCTTTCTGTCCGGTAAAATGGGTATCTCCCTCAGGCTGACCAAGTTTTTAGCTCAGTGCCTGGCACATAGTGGGCCTTCATATCTAAGTGTGTTTTCCTTCCTCTCTCCCAAAGAGCCATCACCGCTGCCATCTTCTCCTCCTCCTTCTCCTCCTCCTTACCGACCACCTCCTAGATCACCTCCCCCACCTCATATGCCTCCTCAATCGTACTTCCAAGGCCCCCGGGTTATTCACACAGGTGAGTGCTCCTGCCTCCTCTCCTTGCCCTGGCCATTCCCCAAGACTCTGCTCCCCAGCGCCTCCTCTGGGAAGCCCTCCTTCCCTGCCCGCTCAGCCGCCAGTGGCCACTTTGCCCAAATCTCCAGTGCGGGCAGAGGGGAGGTCTGGTACACAGTAGGTGCTCAGGAAATGCGTGTGAAGTAGAATCCTGTATCTACTCTGCCAAGGCCCTACCCCAACCACAGGTGAGGGGGTGCCGACCCCCAGGAGGGGCCTGGGCTTGGGGATTGTTAAACACTTGCCGGGGAATTGGGGAACACTGGGAAGGCTGAGAGCTGCTGGATTCGGTTGTGAATTCCCAGTGGCCAAAGCGAAGGCAGAATCCTCACTGTTGTCAAGACCATAGAGCCCGTGGGTCACCCTTCCAGCCAGTTCTTTCCCGAGTTCTCTGCCAAACAGGGTGGCTACATCAGGCTTCAGGGGTCCAAACCCAGCACCCCCGCCCCCTGGGCCCCAGAAAAACCCAAGTCCTCATGCCTCTGAACAGTCCACCAGACCAGGCCCTGCGCCCTGGGTCAGACACCAGAGGCCCTGGGACCAGGCTCCTGACAGGAGACGCAGCCGGCACCGCTGCCTTCACTGCCCACCGGGCTGCAGGGTTTACGAGGGCTGCGCACACTTTTTGGTCCCTGTGTACAAATGCAAGAGGAAGAGACAAGAAGAAGGCTTTTGGGTTTTCTGTTGTGTTGGCGGGTGTGTGTGTGTGTGTGTGTGTGTGTGTGTTTGCAATGCAACTGCTTTCCCATGTCGGTGGGAGCTTTCTGACGGCAGGGCTAGCAAGCAGCTCTGGCCGAATTAAACCAAAGCCCGAGAGGGACTTCGTGGGTGGGATGCCCTGGGAACACACTGGATTGATGTTGAATCCAGTTTAAACCCAGAAAGGCTCCCAGCTCCCTGGGTCCCCGGTCAGAGAGGTAGGGTGTCTGGACTGAGGAGGCCCCTGAGCCCTGAGGCTGGTGGTTGGAGGGAAGGGGACTGCTGGGGGCTTGGGGCCCCTGTGGACGGTCTGGGCTGCTCGGGGAGCACGAGAACCTGCAGAGGGCACAGGCCATGCGAGGGTCCACCCAGTGGTGGACGCTGAGGAGAGGGGTGTGAGGTCTGACCCGCCCCTTCCCGCCCCCAAGCTGTGTTCAGCGGTGTGCCTATGTTGGCGACTCCCGTGCCCATAAGCTACCTGTGTCCGTACTGCGGGAACTACGTCATCACGGTGACCACCCCGATCCCGGGGATCCTCACCTGGTTGCTGTGTACAGGCCTCTTCATGTTTGGGTGAGTAGGCACCCCGGCCATCGGCGGGGGAGGGTCTGCTGGCTGGGGAGGGCTGGCCGGGCAGAGGAGGCAGGGCAGGGCCAAGCATGGGGGGTGCAGGCTTGGCGGGGCGCACCCAGCCTGGCCCCTGGCCCACGGCCCACTGCTCCCGAGGCTGCAGGTGTGTCCTGGGCTGCTGTCTCTTCCCCTTCTGCGTGGACAGTTTAATGGACGTGAGTCACACGTGTCCCGTGTGCCGGCGGGAACTCTTCCGCTACCATCGCCTGTGAACCTCCACGAAATAAATGTCTAATAAGTGACCTTTACCTGCCCGTGTCTGTGCTACTGGGTCCCCCCACCCGCTCCTGCCCAGGGCTGTGAAGGGACTGAGGCAGTGCCCACCCGCCCAGTGGTTCTCAGCCTTCTGGCCCTTTAAATACAGTTCCTCATGTTGTGACCCAACCATAAAATCACTTTCGTTGCTACTTCATAACTGTAATGTTGCTGCTGTTATGAATCGTAATGTAAATATCTGATATGCAGGATGGTCTTAGGCGACCCCTGTGAAAGGGTCGTTCGACTGCCAAAGGGGTCTCGACCCACAGGTTGAGAACCGCTGGTCTCTAGACTGTGTGGCAGGAAGTGGGGGGAACTGTTTTCTTTTTTTAATTTTAATTAAATCTTTATTGTTCAGATTATTACATTTGTTCCTCTTTTTCCCCCCCATAACTCCCCTCCACCCAGTTCCCACCCCACCCTCCGCCCTCACTCCCCACCCACTGTCCTCATCCATAGGTGCACGATTTTTGTCCAGTCTCTTCCCACATCCCGCACACCCCTTTCCACCCAAGAATAGTCAGTCCATTCCCTTTCTATGCCCCTGATTCTATTATAATCACCAGTTTATTATGTTCATCAGATTATTTATTCACTTGATTTTTAGATTCACTTGTTGATTTTCTTCTTCTTCCTCTTTTTAAAGGATACCTTTCAGCATTTCATATAATACTGGTTTGGTGGTAATGAACTCCTTTAGCTTTTCCTTATCTGTGAAGCTCTTTATCTGACCTTCACTTCTGAATGGTAGCTTTGCTGGATAAAGTAATCTTGGTTGTAGGTTCTTCGCATTCATCACTTTGAATATTTCTTGCCACTCCCTTCTGGCCTGCAAAGTTTCTGTTGAGAAATCAGCTGACAGTCGTATGGGTACTCCCTTGTAGATAACTGAGTTTCTTTCTCTTGCTGCTTTTAAGATTCTCTCTTTGTCTTTTGCTCTTGGCATTTTAATTATGATGTGTCTTGGTGTGGTCCTCTTTGAATTCCTTTTCTTTGGGGTTCTCTGCGCTTCCTGGACTTGTAAGTCTATTTCTTTCACCAGGTAGGGGAAGTTTTCTGTCATTATTTCTTCAAATAGGTTTTCAATATCTTGCTCTCTCTCTTCTTCTGGCACCCCTATAATTCGGATGTTGGTAAGCTTGAAGTTGTCCCAGAGTCTCCTTACACTATCTTCGTATTTTTGGATTCTTTTTTCATTTTGCTTTTCTGGTTGGGTGTTTTTTGCTTCTTCGTATTTCAAGTCTTTGACTTGATTCTTGGGATCCTCTGGTCTGCTGTTGGGAGTCTGTGTAATATTCTTTATTTCAGTCAGTGTATGCTTAATTTCTAGTTGGTTCTTTATCACAACATCGAGGGTCTCACTAGATTTCTTGAGGGTCTCATTGAGTTTATTGGCGGTTTCTAGAAAATTCTTGAAAAACCTTAAAAGTGTGGTTTTGAACTCTATATCCAGTAGTTTGCTTTCCTCCATTTCTGTCATTTGTGTCCTGTTTCTTTGTCTCCACATTTTTTATGCTTCGCTGTGTCGATAGAGTAGCTTTCTGTGCTCAGTGTCCTATAGGGCCCAGTGGCTCAGCCTCCCCAATTACCTGAGGTAGACACTCTTGGTGCACCCCCTTGTGGGCTTTGTGCACAGTCTTGTTGTAGTTAAGCCTTGATTGTTGTAGGTAACACTGGGAGGATTTGACCTCCAGGCCAATTGGCTGTGAGAATCAGCTGTATCTACGGTGGGAGAACTTCTGTGCTGAAGACACCCTTATGGGGCAAGACTTGCTTCAGTGGGGATTGGTGCTCACTGAGTCTGCCTCCTGAGTGTGTCCCTTATGGATCTGAGTTGTAATTGGATGGTCCCACTCTGACCACTGGGTACACTGGCTCTTGGATCTAAGGAGGTGCTAATCTAGCCTCTGCCTGAGGCTACCCAGCAGAAGCCAGCTATAAAGAAATGCAAGTTGCCCTGGGGCCTTGGGGCAGCTGCAGTTTGTTAAGTAATTTTCAGATTACAAAGGGCCGGGCCTTTGGTATGCAAAAGCCTCCATGCACAGCTTGGGCGGGGCGGGGTCCCAGGGGATCAACAGGGCGGGCGGAGCGAGTGGTATGGCTGCTCTCAGTCCTGTCCTCAGAGGCCCCGGCAATCGCTGCAAGTGCCTCCGAGAGAAAGCTGCCCTCGAGTTCCGACTGATGCCAGACAGTCCCGTTTCTCCTGTATGAGTATGGGTCCCCAGAGACTCGCCCTGAGACTCCCTCCCGATTGAAAAAGACAATCGTGTCCTCAGCTGCCACCCCGCTCCGCATGTACCTCCGCACCTTTGTATTTTACTTCTGCACCGCACCTCCTCTGAGTCTCTGTATGCTTTTCTCTTTCCTTCTAGTTGTAGAATTTCCACTCAGCCAGCCTTCCTGTGGTTCTGGATGATGTCTGTTCAGTCTTTTAGTTGTATTTTTTAAAATATATTTTATTGATTTTTTTACAGAGAGGAAGGAAGAGGGATAGAGAGTTAGAAACATCGATGAGAGAGAAACATCAATTCAGCTGCCTCCTGCACACCCCCTACTGGAGATGTGCCCGCAACCAAGGTACATGCCCTTGACCGGAATCGAACCTTGGACCATTCAGTCCGCAGGCCGACGCTCTATCCACTGAGCCAAACTGGTTACGGCTAGTTGTATTTTTGAAGTGGTTGTGCGAGGCAGCAATCTCCGGTGTTTACCTATGCTGCCATCTTGGTTTCTCGTCGGGAACTGTTTTCTTGCTCCTACTCTGGGTAAAGGCATTGGAGAGGAAACCCAGGGTCCCCTCCTCCCCCCAAATCATGAAGCTCCTTTCCTGGGAGGGTCAGGTTCCCAATGAAACACAGGGGATCCCCAACCATCACGCACATTGTCATTAAAATTATAGGGCTCCCATTGCCGCCCCCCTCAGACACTCTGGGGACCCAGGGTCCCAGAATTTCTTGCCCAAATAGCCCTCCACCTGCATGCTGGTCCCCAGGGCTGGCCACGAGCTGACTGCTGGGGGAGCCGAGGGACAGAGCTGGGTGTCCGCACTTCGAGACGCCCCTTTCAGGGCAGGAGGGACCCACGGTGGGAAGAATGGAGGAGACCCAAAAAGCCTCTCCCAGAAGGAGCAGGGGCAATGTCGCCGCTTCTGGAGCCGTCCTGTCCAGAGGCCAGGGCGCGGCCCGGAGTAGCATGTGCTCTGGAGGCTTCTTAAGTTCCGTCCTTGACTCTGGTACTTATTTATCGGGGACCTCAGGCATGTTAACCTCTCTGAGCCTAGTCTCCACATCTGCAAAATTGGAAAAATTTTCAGGCACCACACAGCTACCTCCCTGGTGTTTTGGCAAGAATGAGTGGAGTGAGAGGTGTAAAGTATTTAGTACAGAGATTGACACATAACAAATGCTTCAGATAAGATTTAAAAAAAAAAAAAAAGTGCCCTAGCCAGTTTCTCAGTGGTTAGAGCATCGACCCACTGACTGAAGGGTGGCGGGTTTGATTCTGGTCAAGGGCACATACCTTGGTTGCAGGCTCGATGCCCGGCCCCCGTCGGGGCGCATGTAGAAGGCAGCCAATCGCTGTGTCTCTTTCATACCCATGTTTCTGTCTCTCCCCTTCCCTTCTACTCTCTCTAAACATCAATGGAAAAATATCCTCAGGTGAGGATTAAAAAGAAAGGAATTATAGGGCCTGTGCAGTTCCCCATCCTCAGCTCCCTGGCACTGTCTCTAGGGAGGTCTTACCTCCTAGGACAATGAGGGCACACTGGAGTCTGAAATGCCTGGGTTCACCTTTCAGCTCCTCCATCTATTAGTGATACAACCAACTTGATTCATTCATCTAGCCTCAGCTTTCTGTCCGGTAAAATGGGTATCTCCCTCAGGCTGACCAAGTTTTTAGCTCAGTGCCTGGCACATAGTGGGCCTTCATATCTAAGTGTGTTTTCCTTTCTCTCTCCCAAAGAGCCATCACCACTGCCATCTTCTCCTCCTCCTCCTAGAACACCTCCTCCACCTCATATGCCTCCTCAATCGTACTTCCAAGGCCCCCGGGTTATTCACACAGGTGAGTGCTCCTGCCTCCTCTCCTTGCCCTGGCCATTCCCCAAGACTCTGCCCCCCAGCGCCTCCTCTGGGAAGCCCTCCTTCCGTGCCCCCTCAGCCACCAGTGGCCACTTTGCCCAAAGCCATGGGCGTTTCTCTCCAATGCAAAATCTCCAGTGCGGGGAGAGGGGAGGTCTGGTACACAGTAGGTGCTCAGGAAATGCGTGTGAAGTAGAATCCTGTATCTACTCTGCCAAGGCACTACCCCAACCACAGGTGAGGGGGTGCAAACCCCCAGGTGGGGCCTGGGCTTGGGGATTGTTAAACATTGCCGGGGAATTTGGGAACACTGGGAAGGCCGAGAGCTGCTGGATTCGGTTGTGAATTCCCGGGGGCCAGAGCGAAGGCGGAATCCTCACTGTTGTCAAGACCATAGAGCCCGTGGGTCACCCCTTCCACCCAGTTCTTTCCCGAGTTCTCTGCCAAACAGGGTGGCTACATCAGGCTTCAGGGGTCCAAACCCAGCACCCCCGCCCCCTGGGCCCCAGAAAAACCCAAGTCCTCATGGCTCTGAACAGTCCACCAGACCAGGCCCTGCGCCCTGGGTCAGACACCAGAGGCCCTGGGACCAGGCTCCTGACAGGAGACGCAGCCGGGCAGCAGGGTTTACGAGGGCTGCGCACACTTTTTGGTCCCTGTGTACAAATGCAAGAGGAAGAGACAAGAAGAAGGCTTTTGGGTTTTCTGTTGTGTTGGCGGGTGTGTGTGTGTGTGTGTGTGTATGTGTGTGTGTGTGTGTGTTTGCAATGCAACTGCTTTCCCCTGTCGGTGGGAGCTTTCTGACGGCAGGGCTAGCAAGCAGCTCTGGCCGAATTAAACCAAAGCCAGAGAGGGACTGCGTGGGCGGGATGCCCTGGGAACACACTGGATTGATGTTGAATCCAGTTTAAACCCAGAAAGGCTCCCAGCTCCCTGGGTCCCCGGTCAGAGAGGCAGGGTGTCTGGACTGAGGAGGCCCCTGAGCCCTGAGGCTGGTGGTTGGAGGGAAGGGGACTGCTGGGGGCTTGGGGCCCCTGTGGACGGTCTGGGCTGCTCGGGGAGCACGAGAACCTGCAGAGGGCACAGGCCATGCGAGGGTCCACCCAGTGGTGGACGCTGAGGAGAGGGGTGTGAGGTCTGACCCGCCCCTTCCCGCCCCCAAGCTGTGTTCAGCGGTGTGCCTATGTTGGCGACTCCCGTGCCCATAAGCTACCTGTGTCCGTACTGCGGGAACTACGTCATCACGGTGACCACCCCGATCCCGGGGATCCTCACCTGGTTGCTGTGTACAGGCCTCTTCATGTTTGGGTGAGTAGGCACCCCGGCCATCGGCGGGGGAGGGTCTGCTGGCTGGGGAGGGCTGGCCGGGCAGAGGAGGCAGGGCAGGGCCAAGCATGGGGGGTGCAGGCTTGGCGGGGCGCACCCAGCCTGGCCCCTGGCCCATGGCCCACTGCTCCCGATGCTGCAGGTGTGTCCTGGGCTGCTGTCTCTTCCCCTTCTGCGTGGACAGTTTAATGGACGTGAGTCACACGTGTCCCGTGTGCCGGCGGGAACTCTTCCGCTACCATCGCCTGTGAACCTCCACGAAATAAATGTCTAATAAGTGACCTTTACCTGCCCGTGTCTGTGCTACTGGGGTCCCCTCACCCGCTCCTGCCCGGGGCTGTGAATGGACTGAGGCCGTGCCCACCCGCCCAGTGGTTCTCAGCCTTCTGGCCCTTTAAATACAGTTCCTCATGTTGTGACCCAACCATAAAATTATTTTCGTTGCTACTTCATAACTGTAATGTTGCTACTGTTATGAATCGTAATGTAAATATCTGATATGCAGGATGGTCTTAGGCGACCCCAGGGAAAGGGTTGTTCCACCACCAAAGGGGTCGCGACTCACAGGTTGAGAACCGCTGCACCCGCCCTTCTCCTGCCCTCCCGTCCCCAAGGAAGGTCAGGTGGGCGCTCAGACCGGCGCCTGCACACAGCACGGGCTGTGAGCACCGGGTGAAGGAAGGATGCCTGGCCCTCCCTTCGCATGGTCCACCCTCTCCTGACCTCTGAAACACCACAACCCATCCATCGATCAGTTTTAGCTTCTAAGTCCTCTAGTCCACATCTCCTGTCAGTAGGTCTCAAGATGACTCTTCCCACCTCCTCATGTGGCCCTGGGCGCTGTGGATGGCATGACCACGTCCCTGCAGTGCCTCCTCTGATCCCATCCCCTCAGCAGCACCCTGCCCTGTCCTTGTTGCCCACAATAATTTCTTTCCCTCCTTGATACCCCACCCTGCTCTTCCATAAGGGAGGCACCAGCCCCTTTTCTGCCCGGCCTCTCTGCCCCAAATCTTGCCTACGCCCTCCGGTCCTCATCAGCAACCAGTGACTGGCACACAGAAGTTCAATTAACGGGTGAGAATTAGTAACTTCAGCTCTGATTATGCCAGACGCCTGCCTAGAACCTTCCAGGCTCAGGACTGAAGCTGACATTTTAACGGGGTCACTTGAGTGCCTCTGCCTCTCCTCACCTCTGTGCTACTGCCCAGCCACCACACATCCCGACGCCTCCCTGTGCTGCCCTGGACTGCCCTGCCCGGCCCCCTCACCCATTCCTTCTGTTGGGCCCAGCAGCGCCATCACTTATTCTCGGGCCCCTGCCACTTCCCCAGGGGCAGGCAGGCTCATGGGAGCTGGGAAGGAAGGAAATCCGCCCAAATCTGTCCCCACCTCACCCCCACCCCACCCCAGCAGAGGTTTAATTCTCGAAGTTCCTTCATGGCCACAGCACAGTAGCCATCCTGCACGTCACGGTGACTGCGGGAACGTGGAGAAAACTTAGATGTTGAAAGGCCCTCGCTGGCTTAGAGGGTGCTTGTGGGTAAATGAGCCTGCTGGGGATGAGGTCAGGGGCGGGCATGCGCTAACGGAAAACCCAGGGCACAACTGAGGGCCATTTCACTTGGCAAAATCCAAACATATATGATCCCATCTTTCCAATATAAATGAATTTCAGAGAGAAGGAAGTGAAGGGATTAGGGGGCAGAAGGGCCTGTGAAGTTCATTTCATCCACTGAGGTGTGGCAGGAGGTCGGCTGTAATGCTCCCCCATCCTGGGCACATGATGCCAGGGCGGAGGTGGCTGGTCCCGATCCAGGAACTGGACCAGCAGCTGGAAACACGGCCCGTCCACCCAAGATGAATGCAGTGCAGCAGCGAGAAAAGGTACGGCGGCAGGAAGGTGTGCGTGTGTGTGCATGTGTGCGAGCGTGTGCCTGCGCAGAGCTGAGTCGTGGAGGCACTGAAGCATCACGGTGGCCTCTTGGCAGACATTCCTGGAAGCCAACCAGTCAGGTGAGAGCTGCTCTGGCCACAGCTGCTGTGACAGCGCTGGCAGGTCCAGGGTTGCACCAGCCAGGGGAAGGAAGGGTGACAGATTTCTCCAGATCTGAATGTCAGCCCTGCAGCTGCCCCACTGCCATCTCCTGCACCCCCAGATGCCCCGGGAAGCCAGGGGAGCACGGACTTCCGAGGAGGCACTAGCTGTGGGACTGAGAGTCCCAATGTCCACATCCAAACAGAGACCCATTTTGTCTTTTTTAAATATATTTTTATTGATTTCAGAGAGGAAGGGAAAGACAGAAACATGAGAATCATTGGTCAGCTGCCTCCTGCACACCCCTGAGGATCGAGCCCGCAACCCAGGCACGTGCCCTGACTGGGAACCCAATTGTGACCTGGTTCATAGGTCAATGCTCAACCACGGAACCACACCGGCTGGGCCAGAGACCCATTTCAGTGAGATTTTAGGATTACAGAGGTGAAGCATCTGACAAACTAGACCCCCAGTTCCTGGGAACCAATCCCTCATTTATAATAAATCCGAACAGAGTGGCGCCAAATGGACCCAGGGCGACAGGAAGGCCTCGGGTCTACACGTGGGGCCCAACTGGTCCCATGTTTCAAGGCGAGACCATGCGATCTCAAACAGGGCGAGCGTCATCACAGAGGGAAGGGCGGGTCACGGAGGCAGAACTGGCCCAGCGGCCATCACCATCTGGAGGAGGAAGTCTTGAGCTGGGACTTGGCCAACCCCCGGCTGAGACAAAGCCCAGGCCCCTGCAGCGGGGCCAGGCTTTGCGGGCTGGTCACAGGGCAGGCCTGGCTCTGCCTACGGCCGGAGCCGATTCATCCGAGGAGCTTGGCCGCAGGCCGGTGTCTCATCCTACGCTGGCCAGGCGACTTGCCGGTTTTGACAGTTCCACAGGTAGTCCCATGACAGCGACGTCCGTAGCAGACGCAGGGCCACTGCGGCGCATGAGCACACTGCCCGCTGTGGGGCTGGTGTCCCGGGCCCTCCTTCACTCACCTGGCTCAGACTCCATGCACCTCAACAAGGCCCTGCCCGGCCCGGGCAGCACCCTTGCGAGAGCCTTGGACCAATCCCCAGGCTGTCTGATTAGACGGCCCAACGTTAAGAAAATATTGTCAACTTTTAACATTGGGAAATTCGCACTGAAAATCCAGACTTTTCAGCTTCTTTGAAAACTCAGGTGCACAGGATGCACATTCAGCAAGCGTCAGACTGAAGCACGTCTGTCCCCTCGGCCCAGCCCTCCCCCCTCCTTGGGCAATCCTACTCGCTGCCTTGGGCACCTGGGCCCATAGCATCATTTCCACTTCTCAGTGGCCTAGTGTCCGAGCCTGGTCCCAGGGCGGCCTTGGTTCTCCTGCCCCAGGACCTCACTGTCTCCCTGGGCCCAGCTTTCCCTAAAGGCTGACTTGGCCTTTCCATGCTCAGGGTTTGTTTCTGCACCAGCTGGGAGCTGCCAGCAGTGTGGCCGGGACAGCGTGTCCGGCAGGGCCCAGAGCTCAGAGGGAGACAGTGCCCTGCCCTGGGGCACCTGGGGGCGGGGTGGCATGCGGCAGTGAGGTTGTTTCAAAGCCAGCTCTGTACTTAGCCACCGAGAGCCCAGGTAGGTGGTCAGCCTCCAAGCCCGTGTCCTGTCACTCTGGGCTGCCCACATGCCTCGCTGGGAACCAAGACGGGGCGTGCTCAGTGGCGGGTTGTTTGAGGACTGCTGACTTGTGGCTAGAGTCAAGACAGGACACGTCCCCACCTTCCTTATCATGGGAGCACAGAGGAGGGTGTGACGCTGGCCTCCCAACCCAGCTCTGCCATCAGTGAGTCTCTCACAGCCGGGGATACCGCCTGCCATTCCCAGTGGCCATCACCTCGAGCCACGCCCAGGCTGTGTGGACAGAGGTGAGGAAGCAGGATGGAGGGGGTGTGGGGGGAAGGGGATGGTTGTACAGACTGTTACGCCCCTCCCGCACCCGCATGCCTGCAAGGAGTGAACATAGCTGACCCTGAACCTGCCACCCCTACCCCAATGCCGACTTCACAGAAAGGAGTCCGGAAGGGCTGTGGGTGCCCACTCCTCACTAGTGGGCAAGGGGAAAGACCAGCACAAGCTGTCACCCCCACCGCGCCCGTGGCCGGGATTGGGAACCGGGGGACTCGGTCCCTATCTGTCCCATGCAGCTCCTGGTCACCCCCGAAGGTCAGGAACACCAGAGCCCCCGTGCTCCATCTCACATTTAACTCCAGCTCATCGGGCAGCAGACCACAAAGGGGCACATCTGACTAGTGGCTTTGCACAGCACGGCAGGCACCAGCCACGTGGCAACCTGCAGTTCACACCCTCGGCCATTCTGGCCACATGTGGCTGTGGCTGCTGCACAGGCAGGCACGTGAAGTCGCTGTGGCAGAGGACGCTGGAGAGCCAGGTCACAGCACAGCTGCCGATGGCCGCAAACACTGCTCAGTGACCCACAGGCGTGTGGAGCGTGGCTCTAACGTGACAGCACCCGTGAATGTGTTCAGTGAGGGCCAAGGCGGCCTCCATTCCGATGCACTTCCACCCCAGGGGCCATCCTACCACCAAACACTGCAGCCAGCCAGGAATCCCCCCCAGGAGCTCCTTTCCCGCTTAGTCCCGGGGCCGGCGAACTTGGACTTTTACCTGACCTTTTGTACATGAAGTGCACCAGGCTCGGCCTCACCTCACTGCAGGGTGGTCTGTGGCTGTGTTCAGGCTGCAGCGCAGAGCTGTGTCCCATGACCAGCAACCCGCAGAGCCCAAAGCGTATCGCGCATTCAACTGCACAGCAGCTCCAAACGAGAAACCCCCACCCTCACACCACCCCAACCACCACACGGGCCGCAAAGCGAGGCAGAGCCCCGGGAAGGCCTTGCTCAAGGAGCGATGGTTCTGGACACAGCCTGTTCTCACTGCAGCCACAGAACTCTGGCCCCGGGTCACCTCTGCAGCTGTTTCTCCTTCACGCTGCGTTACGCACCAAAGTCATACCTCCCAACACGGCAGACTCCGGGTTAAAGCGGATTTGTTAGTAGGTAAGGCCACTTGCAGACACGACTGCAGATACGTGCCTCACTTCCAATGCAGCCAACTTGAAGCTCTTAGAGAAAGCCAGCAATCATTTCAAAGGCAGTCCCACCCTGGACGGGCAGGGACACTGGGAGGTGCTCTGGGAACTGCTGTTAAAGGGATGGCGACGGCAAGCCCTGTCCTCACCTAGTGTGCTTTTAATTTAATGTGAGCTTCTTCCAGCACACTGCCCCTGGGTGCACGCGCGGTGGGCCTTCCCCTCACACCGTGGGTGCCAGGGCCCCAGCGTTCTAGGACTTGGTGCACCATCACGACACAGCAACATCTTAGAGGGAGAGGACAGAGGATGGGACGACCTCGGGGGTCAGAGCCAGCTACCTGAAACGCAGTGTCTCCATCCCTATCCCCAAAGACTCTTGATGCCATAAACTGGGAGTAGATGGCAAAGGAAACGCCCACATTGCAAAGTGTTTTTTGCAAAAAGATTCATTTAATAACTTCAGGGAGAATTCTGTCTGTGACCTAAGACTATATAATCTACCCTTAGCCAGAACCCAAAACACAAAAATCAACATGTTCTTTGGACGGAGGGGCGGTGCGATCCCCACACCGGCCCAGGGCAGCGCGGGGTGTGAAAGCACGCGTCCCCGTGGAATCTGGAAAGGGATCGCGGGGCACAGACCTCCTGGGGACCAGGAACAGTGCACTGGGGTGGGATGCGAGGCCACTGAGGCAGGCCACGGCCGCTCAAATGCCAGCGGCCTGTTCCACCATTTCAATATTTCCAGCCCTCTTATTTGTACATGGTGCTCACCTGGAAAACCTCTTATTCCTTAAGCTTAAATGAAACTAGTAAAAGGCAAAAAAAAAAAAAAAAAAGAAGGCAGAACTATACATCAGCAATACTGAAATTTGGGGGTCGGGGCAGTGGGGGTGAGACAGCTCGGTAAAACCTTGTTATAAATAAAAAGGTTTTCCAAGCCCCTTTTTGGGGAGGCCAGAAATCTTCCTCAACTTCCACATCACTCACTGAATTATCATTTTTATAGAAAATTTTATTCAACATACAACATTTTCCAGCAAAAAGGCAATATACAGGAAGAGTTGGTGTACACCGCTGCTACAGAAACAAACAAAAAATACTGGAAAAGAATGAAAAAAAACTGTGATCTGCTGATTCTATTTTACTGCACTCAAAACTAGACACGCAGCTGGCATTTAGCTCCAAAATAAAAGGTCGGGACTGAAATAAACTACACACAATGAATATCAACATCAGTGAGTCACCTGTAGATTCACCCAACAAAAAAGTCACCTCCTCCCAGCAGTAAATTGTACATGTTCATTCATTAAATATACAATTTCATTTTTCCTGTTTTTTTTTTCTTTTAACTTTTATACAAAGTCAACAGCTTACTACCACTAATGAGCATGCCCTCTTTGCTAAAAGGCTCTCTTGTTCATCTGTTGTGTTTTAAGGAAATTCTATGTATAATCTTTCACCTGCTCGTATGAACGTGAGATCAGTCTGCCCACAGGCAGCTTATAAACCTTAATTGTAACTAACAGTGCTTTCCATTTAATAAAAGACCCCAGGACGGCTGTCAGACTACTCCGTGCCCCCACTCTGCAATGGGCTGCAGAGCAGCAGTGGCTGACGGAAGTGAGACAGTTTATGGAAAGACCCAGGCGGCTGGGAGAGGACTGAGGAAGGGGCGACAGGACACGCAGTGAAGGAAAGAGTGCTATTTATTAGCTTGTGAGTTTCTCTGTTTTGCCTTTACAGATGCACAAAAGGCCATTGAAATATAACTGAAGGAAATACGTCAGACGAGCCTAAACATACAACTTCCTGGCTGCGGGTGGAGGCCGGGACCCCCAGCAGGCAGCCAGGCAGCTTCTGCCAACTAGACAGACTAGAGACCTCCTGCCAGCGCCACGCGTCCCTCTAACCTCTTCTCCCCGAATGCTGACAGTTGCCTTGCATGTGGTTACCATAAAATAACTCTCATTGGCATCCAAGCTTTATAAAAACACCTTCATTTTGCTCAAAAAGGGCAGTCAATAGATACAGAGAAGCCAAACTGAACAGCCTCAACAAAATAAAATGAACACCAGCAGCAAATCCTCCTCGGAAGACTCGCTAGAGTGCACGTGTGCCAGAGTCCTCGCTGTTAAAGGGGCACACCCACACGCGGTCCTCGCCTTGCACGCACGGGTGAGGAAGTCAGTTATGGATTTTAATTCTCTTTGGGGCTTTGTTGAAGTGGTCGAGCCCTAGCCACGGCCGCGGGTGAGACATGTTACCTGGTGGGGAAAGATGTTACCTGGTGGGGAAAGAGGGGCGATGAGACCACAGAACAAGTACCAGGACCCCTATACCTGGGGTGGCCACACAAGCAAGTGTGGGTTCACAGTGAGGCTGGGGCTTGAGCCAAACGCGCCCACACCCTGCCTGCCTGCCTCGGCGGCTTCTACGGGCAGCTCTGCCAGAGCCTGCCGACCACAGAGCCTTCACACCTCGACCTTGGAGCTTAGTTCTTTCAGCCACCACGTGACGCAAGCCACCTTTTAATCCTTAAGAGACTCGATGGGTTCAGGCTACTGTTCCTCCTATCACAAAGGAGGTCAGCAAGCCCAGGCCGCCCCGCTGTGGAAATGGGCAGGGGACTCGACCCCGAGTTCTCCGCCTCCAGCTACTTACCGCTGGCCGGCTGGACCTCCCCCACACGGAAGGAAAGCAGTGGGAGGGCTCTTACCAGGCTGAGGTTCAAAGTCTTTCAAGTTTACTTCGTACTCATCTTCATTTATGTATTGGTGCCGGCCCATCATCACAATGGCAAATTTAAACTAAAAGACAAAAATGAAAACTCCTCCATGAACTGGGGGTGCCTCTGCAGAGTCTAGGCCGCTCTCCCAGGAAGCCTCCAGCATGCTGCTCGCTGATTACTCGTCCAGCACGCGCGTACCTTCTCAAACTCCTTCTCCTGGATGTCTAGCAGGCTCTGAATCCGCTTCATGACTTCTCTGAAATGCTCGCCCTGCGGACACAGGAGGACACTGTGCTCACGTACCTGTGTGCACCAGCGTTCATGGCCCACGGGGACGCCACCAAAGTCCATGGTCTGCCCACCGAGGCAGGAAGCCAGATTTAGCAATGCTAATCCAAAAGGGGGGCGAGGTTTCAAGTTTTTTTTTTTTTATTGTTTTATTGCTTAAAGTATTACAAAGAATATTACATATGTCTCCTTTTTTTCCCGCCCTTGACAATCCCCTGGTTTCAAGTTTTGACATGCGTTCTCAACCTGTTACCTGTAAAAGCTCACCTGGTGTATCCTCAGCAAAAAAGGGATTCCAAACGTCCCGAACACCTCCTTATGGAAATGTGCCACTGTGATCAGCATCTCATTTTCCTTATCTATGTCTACCTGGTCCAAAGGTATTTCCTGGGGACAGTTAAACACAGGGAGCAGAGTAAAGCACCTGATGCAGACAAAACACTTTAATTCTGACCTGCTCCTGCAATGAGGTGATTAGGTCATTATTTTTTTGCCAAAATGCTATGTTTGGGGCTTGTTAGAATGGTAAGAATTCAGAGCCAGAAAATATCCAAGTTTTTTTTAAGGAAAATGATGGGTTTTAAGACACCAAATAATGTTTTCTTCCAGTTACTGTGGTAATTTCAGCAACTCTAGAAACCAACAGGGACCCAGTTTCTGAATAAATTTGTCTGGTGGCCCATATCTAAAATTAATGTATAAGTACAAAGACTATATATGATTGTACTTAAATGAGGTACCTAGGGTAGTCAAATTCAGAGAGTGGGATGGTGGTTGCCAGGGGCCGGCGGAGGGAGATGTTAGTAGGCATGGAGTTTTACTGGGGGAAGATGGGGATTGTGGCAATAGATGGTGTGGATGTGCCTAATGCCATTGAAATGTGCATTTAAAGTGGTACTGAGTACGGTATGTAGGATTTACCACAGTAAGACAATCAGCAAGCGGCTGACAGCTGCCCCACCCACCAAGGACTCAGAACTCTCCCTGGAGCCAAGAGCAGGGCAGTTACCTCTATTCGAAACGTTCTACTCGTTGCAGGAGATAAACATTCTAATAGCTCGTCTTCTTGGTGCACACCAATAATTTTGTAGCTTACAATTTCTAGCAGCCTGTACAAACAGGATAGGGGTGAAAGATATAAATTCATGGGAAAACACCCTGACAAATTGTTTTCTTATTATAAAGCTATCAATATTTGCTTGTCGTCTTTCTTTTTAAAAGATTGGAAATGTCGAAAGCAGGCACCCATGGGAGAGGGCACAACACTGGCCAGGTGGCCCCTCGAGCATGCGATTCAAGGGGAGTGACCTCAAGCCTCGGTGAGGCCGAGTCCCTGGAGCTGATGAATCTCCCTCTAAACCCATGCGAGGCAGGACTGGTGAAGCTGTTCTCACCGAGCCTTTGGAGGACAAAGGGCTCCAAATATTAAAATTAGAGAAAAAACATGCTGGGAGCCAATAGCCACAGGGCAGTTTTGTCCTGAGCTGTGTGGCGACATAAGAAAAGCGCCCAGCCCTGTCCAGTTTGGCTCAGTGGTTGGAGCATCGGCACTCGAACCGAAGGGCGCATGCGGGAGACAACCAATTGATTCGTCTCTCTCAAATCAATGTTTCTCTCTCTCTCCTGCATCCTCCCCTCCACTCTCTCAAAAAATATCAATGGAAAAATATCCTCAGGGGAGGATTAAAAGAAAAGCACCCAGCTCTCTGAAATAGAAACTGCTCATCACATCTGTGGCTTCTGTCCACAGCCTGAACGTTGCCCAATTTCACAAATGCAATCCCTGCAGCTTTTCCCAGTTCGTTATCATTCTATTGTAATCACATCCTTCCTCTGCTTGGCGTTCCTACCTGAAGCACACATTTTTGCTATAGGTAGTTAATATCAGGAGACTGGAAGAAAGGAGCAAAAGATGTCTTAACTGTGAAATATTTAAAAACTGCTGTGAAAAACCAGCTGAGAGAGGAGTCTGGCAACAGGCACAGGGCTCTGGCTGCGCTGTGTCCACCAGCACACTGCAGGGCTGGGGCTGGTCAGCACTCCTCCCGCCGCCAAGGGCTCCAGGAAATACTTGCCTAAGTTTCCCTGATGCCTTCTCCCCAAGCTCTACAGCCTTTTTACATTCTTCTAACAGGTCCCGGACACACCCGTGCTTGTCTGGATATAGTGTTATTTCCTAAGAAATGACAAGATGAAACACATGCTTTAAAGAAAACATAAAGGATCTGCTACAGCAAACCAATTTTGCTTGAAGAAAGAAAACACAGCAATAGATGTCCTCAGCTGTCTCTAGCTCCCAGGACTCTCTCACTCACATTCCCGCCACGAGGGCCCCTGGTATGAGACCTCACTCAGACCATCTGCTCAAACCTGGAGCCCACCAAGTACTGAGGGGACTTTAAGAAGTGCCACTTTTGCCCCGAGCCCAGGTTTGGCTCAGTAAATAGAGTGTCAACCCGTGGACTGAAGGGTCCTGGGTTTGATTCCTGTCAAGGGCACACACCTCAGATACAGGCTCAATCCCCGGCCCTGGTCCGGGCACATGCGGGAGGCAACCAATCAATGTGTCTCCCACATTGATATTTCTCTTTCTCTCTCTACACCTCCCTTCAACTCTCTCTAAAAAATCAATGGAAAAATATCCACGGGTGAGGATTAACAACAAAAATGCCACTTTCTGGTTATCTGAAAACTATACTTTTAGTAACCAATGTTACTCCAATGAATCCAATAATAAAAAACAAATAAAAATGCCACTATAAAGTGAAAAGTTTGCCATTTCCAGAGCAGCTTCTCAGGAAATGACACCCTGAAAGATCACCTACAAGCCTTTCCGATCCCAGCACAGTGAGAAAGAAGGCTGATTAATCTAGGCCATGAGCAGCAGGAGGCTTTACAATTTAACCCTTTGCACTCCGCTGTCCCCTTTCAGGGGACATCGGAATTCTAGCATATCACTCAGATGTCCCCTCTCAGGGGACATTGCAGTTTATTAGTGATTACGGGGAATTGAGTTATTTCAACGCAACTTTTTGAGACATGCATGTTTCCCTGAAGTTTTATCTTGAAATGGCACAAGAAATTAAATCAAAATATCGTAAAATTACTATGATATATACAAGAAATGTCAGCGGGTTTTGTGTCGGATTAAACAATAAACTACATATTCCCGATGTGGGACAAAGAAAACGGGACTGCATTGTGTGTTCTAACAGGAAAACACCTGGTGGCAGGCGTCAAACCACTTATTACTGTCAAACATGCACTAATCAGCCTGCAATGCATATTGGGGAGTGTTACAAAACTTATCATACTGTACAAAATTATAAACAATAAAATATTGGTTTTTTTGCAAATATACATTCCTCGATGTCACCCAATTCATATAAGTCCAATATCATTATAATACGTTACTTGGTTCCAAAATTATACTAAATAATACGAGGGTCTGTAAATGCACGTTTCCGCCGCAAAGTAGCGTCGAGTAGCTGGTAGCCAATGTCCAGAATGGTCTGGAGTGCAAAGGGTTAAGTCTGACTGATCAACTGGATATATGCACGAATGTCTGTGGCATGTGACTCAAATTTTCCCTCAAAACAGGCTGGGCAAGAACGGTGAAAAGGACTTGGAATCCCAGCAGTCGCACTTCCTAGAACCACCTAAAGTGTGGCTGCACATGCCTTCTGTATGCAACAAGCACACGCCACGGGAGCGACCCACAGTCAGTGTCAGCTCACTTGCAGGCCGGCTGCCCTCACTGAGGCCTGACGGGGTTCGAGGAAAATACTGCTCCGGCCGAGCAGCAGTGCATCAACTTAAGATGTCCAAACCGGTAAGAAAAGCAGTCCTGGAGGGTCAGGCAGATGACACTGCTATTCGTCTCCCAGGGCTCAGAGGTGGTGGCAGGAGGACACAAACTTGGGCTCTCCAACTCTGGACCCAGGGGCCGCTACAAGGCTATCACTCCTCTTGCTTTCTTTTGTTGTTTTAGTTATCAAGGTCTAGAGAGACAGAAACCATAGACAAGCTCCAATAAAAATGAAGATTCATATCATTAAAAAAAAACTTACCTCTTCCCTAAATTGGCTGTTTAACCATATACACTTAAAACTTCGCCTGTTTTCAAAGTCTGTGATTTTCATCTTCAGCTGTGAAGGAAAGAGAGACCCTGTTAGATGCGCTTCCACAAAACCCAAGGCTGCTCCTCATGACCCACGGGCACATTAATTTGGACTCATACCTGCTGATAGTAAAGTTTCTTAGGTTGTCTAGGCTTGAAGAATTGTAGAAGATCTCTTAAAGTACCTTCATAATTATGTCTAAGAGGGTTACCTGGGCCATCCCTATAACTACACAAGAAAACAGCATGTAAATAAATGACTTCTTTATTCGCCTAAAACAAATATCGGTGACTGAGCAGAAAAGCAAACCACTGGCCTTGCACCTAGGCTTGCAATTGGGACCTGGCACACGGTTCCACTGAATGTTCCTACTTCCCGAGCCCTACGCCCCGCCAGCTGCCACACCCGAGTGCTCTCTGCAATGGTGGCACAGCACACAGAAGTCTGGCTGGGACGGACCCAGCTGACACGTGGGAGAGGTGTTTACTGATGATGTATCTAAAGTGAGTCTGACTCGAGATGAGGCTGCCAATTATTTTGACATCTTGGAGTAGTGTGGTCAAGATATGAGGGGTGACAATTCTGTATCTGAAGCTAAGCAAGAAATGGTATGTCAGGTGATGTGGCCAGCTACTTATTAAAATTAGCTCCAATATGTCTGGATGAACTATGGAAAGCACGCAGCAAAGACCAAACACACGTGTGTGCGTGTAGCTTACCCTTGAGATTTGAAAAACTGGAGCAGCATTGGGTCGGTGTTGAGTCTCTGTGCAACTGTCTTTGCAACCTGGGGGGGCAGAAGGCAGACATCAGAACGCCAGGGCACACTGCGGCAATGCACTAGATTTGCTTATAAGCATCATTAACGAGGCACCCCATCATCTTCACCCGATGTGGGATGAGCGGCCGCATTCCAGTGCCCTAGGAATTTACTACCTAAGAGTACCATGCGAGTAGCGTATCTGATGAAGATAAACTTTTAAAGGATTTTTCACTCTTAAGGTGAAGCCTATAGATTTTTAAATTTCCTGATGATTGTTGAAATGCTTCACACTTGGCATGTTCTAACTGCAGCAATGGACCACCATCATCTCCAAAAGCACACTGTGCCAGGTAGAGAGGGTTTCGAAGGACAAGTGCAGATGGACATGGTAGCTGATGAGGAGGCTGAGGCTGGGGTAAGAACAGCTTTGGTCCCATGGCCATCTTAGCACCAACCCACTTTAGTCAGGAATTTCCTCAGACAGCAGGACTAACCCCTCCTCCTGAACCAAATCCATCAGCTTCATCAGCAAGCATTTTTTTAAAAAAGAACGTGGTTTTTCTGGTGCAAAATCTGAAGGGAGAAGAGCCTTTATCAAATACCTGAAAATAATTCATTCTATTTGATAACGTGACCACAAATCCAGGATCATTAGGGATTGTCTTATCACAGAAAATGACATCAACACGGTGATAGAGGTCTCTGAAATATTCTTTTGCGGTGGGTAATTCACTGTTATCATTCTCAGGGTCATCCCTGGGGGGAGGAAAAAAAACACATTTGTAGACTGAATCAAAACCCAGGCCAACAGAAGCTCAGGGTCCCACCACAGTGACACCAACAGGCAGGGGGGGGGGGGGGGGGGGTCTGCCAGTGACCTTTGTAAGCAGGGACCATGGGGAAAGGCCATCACGTACAGAAGGTGTGTCTGAGCTAGGCACAGTGCTGCTTGCCGTCCTGACTGCAATACAGAAACCGGAGCCTCTTCTCTACAGACAAGGTGAAGGGCAGGCACAGCCTGTAGCACAGCCCGCTCCCTGACCAAGGCACTTTCAGGCCAAGGCAGCAGGACACGACAGAAGTGGCCTGCCCACACCCTATGCCAGGGCCACCTCACCAGACGCTTTAACAGCAAGAAAAAGGCAACACCGGGCTGCTTTCAGACTAAGACCTCAGACCTGCTGGTTTAACATGCAGGTTTAAATCAATTACCTAAGTAGCTGCATTCTAAGAAATGCCCTATGTTTTAAGGGAAGAAATACAATCTTGCTATTTCACAAAGACCTTTGCAGCCGTGCTAACAGTGCTCATGCTCACTGTAGACATTTTTAGGAAATCAGAGCATAGATGAAAACGCTCAACACCTAATTCCAAGACCCAGAGACAGCCAGCATCTGTCAGCATTGTGAGGCATTTCAAACACCTGACTCGGGGTCTCAACACAATCTTGTCAGTGTTACAGGACTTGGAAAAAAATTTTCTGCTACCAGTACAAAGTGATCAAATCCTTCAAAAATACATACTTCTGAAACACTATAATATCACCATCCATTAGCTCATCCAGGGCTTTATCAAGAGACACGTCATAGTCCTGAATTCTTTCCGTTAAATTCGGTTTAACTTCCTAGAGTAAAAGAAATGAAATAGTTACAATGCAACATTTGTCTAATGTTTAATATGGCCATACACTGTATGTATTATCCCTACACCCAATTCTATCAGCCATGTATTTTTAGTATGTTAAAAAGCTAATGGGAAATATTAATATCCGTACAGATGTAATAATCACTGATCGATCCTCAATAGGTAAGAAATCACAAATCTACAAATGTGATCCTAAACTCAAGGTCACCTCAACAGTAGACATTACCCATAACAAATACAGGGACAGTCAAACAAGCAAAAAAATTCCTCTCCTATCTGCTAACAATACACTGATTATAGAAAAATAAACCATCCAAACCTCATAGAGGATAAGGCTAGTATCTTGGATAAATCCTGCTCTGTCACACATAACCGGGAGCAAGTCACCTAGGAGAGAGAAAGAAAAGAATGCAAAGCTGTAATACACCACAACTGTAGCAGAATCAAGGCAGAGGTGAGCGCAGCAGGACTTACGTATTTTACAGGATATTGGTGTGTAGATGTGCCCACAGTAGTTCAAGCTCCGTGTTTTGGGATCATACATCTTCAAAAACAACATCACATCATCTACAAGGTTCATAAACAGATTTTGTTAGGGTCTTACCACTTAGTACACTGTTAAAACAGTAATAGTAAACTTAGTAAGGCACTGAAATGACAGCTTTCTGTGCCTAAAACTGTGTCAGACCAGGCTTGTGACTGCTCCCTCACTCCAAGCATCAAACCCCTGGGGAACACTCCATGTGACGCAGTGAAGGTGGAATTGGGGCAGTGAGCTTAGAAATCCTAGTTTCAAGATCTGGTACTAACTAGATGGCTGGGTGCTGTCGTGGGAATAATGGTAGGGTTGTATGACTTCGCTACACTAGAGAGGTGACCACTTACAGCAATAAAAACAATCTTATAGCAAAATCTCATCCGCCTGCTTTTCATATAAAGTAGTGCTGCAATACAGCAAGACTGTCCATTTATACATCCTCTGTGGCCACTTTCCTGCTACAATGCCAGGCAGAAACCATATGGCCCACAAGGCATGAACTACAGTTGACCTTAACAACTTGGGGGTTAGGGAAACCCCCCAAGCAGTTACAAATCCATATGTAACTTCTGACTCTCCGAAAAGGTAACTATTAATAGCCTCCTGTTGACAGGAAGCCTGATGGATAACATAAACCGTTGATTAGCACATATTTTATGTATGTATTATATACTATATTCTTCCAATAAAGTAAGCTAGAGAAAGATTATTAAGGAAATCATGAGGAAAATACATACAGCACTTTTTAAAAAATCCACATATAAGTAGGCCCATGCAGCTCAAGCCCATGCTATGCAAGAGTCCACTGTATTTACACCTGGCCCTTGAGAGAGAGGCTGCAATGCCCGCTCTGTGTGATCTGCCGGTATATAAAGGACCAATGTGATCAGCAAACATGGGGCCACGACTGAAGATGGAACATGACGCCTCAAAACTGCTTCCCTTCCTCTGCTCCTGGACACTACAGCCCATGGCCAGTCCTACTTGACTTCATCATGAAGCCTCAACCACAACAGGGGTTTATGAGCATTTTTGGAATTACTAAGGTTTTTTTGCAAAGGAATAACATTTAAGGCAATATGTTTGGGACGATGGCCCAGGAACCTAACTATACTGCCCTGATGGTGGCTGGGTGTTTGGTGGGCACTTACGATCTTTATCAAACTTGGGTAACGTTGCTCCAGTAGCGGCCAGCTCTGGATCAACTGTTTCCAGGAATATTGTCCAAGGGTTTTCATTATCGCTGAGTTCAATCATCTATTTCCAAAAGAGATGCCAATTTTAGAAAATTTTAATGTAGAGTGAGAGTGAAAAGCTATACTCGTGTACTGAAAAAACGTATCCGACTGGACCACAGGGGAGGCATGCTGCAGCCCCAGCAGCGGAGCACGCTGAGGTGTGCAGCGGTCAACAACACTCACTGTTTTGTTGCCATCGGCCTCATTATCTAACATCGCCGGTCGTTTGGTTCCATTGCTCCTCGCCTGCATGGGCCATAATCGAATTTGATCTTGTGGAAATCCCTGGAAAAAAATTAAATGAAAACAAAGTTAATTCATATTTTATTTCTGTATCACTGTAACCATTCTATGACTATAAGAAAAATAATCATAGATCTCCCTGCTTTCAGGATCACTAGTATTCCAAGACTCAAGTGACCATTTTATAAAAGGAAAAAGAAAAAGAAACACAGGAAGGGGTAGAAAAGAGAAGATTCGAGTTCACATTCAACTTTCCTTCACTGCTGATTCAGTTGAAACATTAGTCACAGGGCAGACACAGGCACCACCCAGAAGCAAATGAGTGCAGGTCAGTTACCTCACTTCTCAGGCAGCCTGCACACAGCACCTACCCCAAAAGGTACTGTCATATCCAGGTATAAAGGAGGGTGGCGCGTGGAAGTCAAAATAAAGCATCAGCAGAGCAGCTGGCACTCACCATGGTCTGGGAGAGGTTCTGGACGAACTCAGCAAGCGAGGAGTTTTTCAGCACTTTGAACACAGTGTACTTGACTTTTTCTTCATCATACATATCATTTCCTTGGTGGCCACAAAACTGGTCCTCTGCAACTATCTGAAAACATGCACAAACACACAGAACAACTGACACACAAATACAATGAGACCATGCTGATCAAGAACAAGTTCAAACAGCCCTGGCAGGATGGCTCAGCTGTTTGGACCATTGTCCTGAGCACCATAAGGTCATGGGTTCGATTCCCGGTCAGGGCATATACCTAGGTTTCGAGTTCCATCCCCAGTTGGGGTGCATAGGAGAGGCAACCAACAATCGATGTTTTTCTCTCTATCTCCCTTCCTCTCTCTAAAAATCAATAAATGCGCCGAGACCGGTTTGGCTCAGTGGATAGAGCGTCGGCCTGCGGACTGAGAGGTTTCCAGGTTCGATTCCGGTCAAGGGCATGTACCTGGGTTGCGGGCACATCCCCAGTGGGGGATGTGCAGGAGGCAGCTGGTCGATGTTTCTCTATCATCGATGTTTCTAACTATCTCTCTCCCTTCCTCTGTGTAAAAAATCAATAAAATATAAAAAAAAATAAAAATAAAAATAAAATCAATAAATGCATCCTAGGATGAAGATTTTTAAAAAATAGTAAGTTCAAATAATAAAATGCTGAAAACAACAAGTCTTGCTTCTTCAGAAGACCCAAGGAGAAAAGTTTCAAAATGACTAAGAATGAAATCAAGTATGTATTTAGAAAAGACAAAAGCCTACATTTTCATGCAGCCATTCTTAACTCATCTAAAAGCACTAGCTAGAAATCCATCTATATGGTGATCACCAAATAATATAAAGATATGATATGCCCAGCAGGTGTCTCTCAGTTGGTTGAGTGTCATCCTATGCACCAAAAGGTTGCCAGGTCGATTCCTGGTCATGGTACATGCCAGGGTGTGGGTTCAATCCCCAGTAGGGGGCATGTGGCAGGCAGTCAATTGAGGTTTCTCTCTCATCGATGTTTCTCTCTCTCCCCCTCTCCCTTCCTCTCTAAAAAAAAAATCAGTAACAACCTGTTACCAAAAAAGGGAGGAGGGCAATACACAATGCACCTTTTTCCAGGAAGGTAATCACTACTGAGCCATGAACCAGGACTACCTGGAAGTTCACCTCCCTGCTGGACTTCTCCTGCCTTCTCCACACTGTGTCAGGCTTTCCATGGCCTGGCATGCCACCGCCCCACACCCCATCTGGGCTGTGCTCGTCTCCCTTCTTACGCACCCTTCCATTGAGGCCTTCACCCCTCTAACCGCTTAAGACACTCTTTATAAATACTTTAATGTATTAGTGCTCTGGTACTTCTCATATCTATGTCCTTACCCTGAACTGAATTGTATACTCCAAATGGTCAGGAAACTGGCCTACACAGTCACTCAGCTAATAACACTCAAGGGCTGCCCGGAGCAATCTCTGATCTGTCAGCAATAGCCCAGGTTCATGCCAGCCCTCGGAGCAGTGTGGCTCTCAGCAGCCCCCTTCCCACCAGGGCCCCAGGAGGCTGAGGCTGACCTGCACTTGCATGTAAAGATGGGCTTCCTGCCGCTCCTTCCTCTTCTGGGCTTCGATCCTTTTCTCTTCTTGTAATCGTTCCACCAGCTGCTGAGGAATGTCGTGGTCGGTGACAGCTTGTAACACCTCACCTGCAGGACAAATGCATCTTCATTCACCTCTGCCAGGTTCTCCTTTCCCCTTCTTAGAAGGTCCCCGTTTCATGCCATCATTGCTATAGCAATCTGGTAAAGGGAAACGACTGGGTGCCACAAGTCCACATCACGGCCCACAAGCCCAACCCCTCCTGCCTCTAGATGTTGTAAACAAGGAAGATTAATCAGAGCATGGGTTTGCACAGGAGACACAGCTGAGGTCCCTGTAGCGTGGCCTACACACCACAGCAATGACTCATGAAACGACGACAAAGCTCCCCACAGTGCAGAGCACGACAGGCCACTCTACTCACTCAGCTTGGACTCCCTGATATAAACCAACATGTATGCGTTCGTGCAGTGCCGGACGGAGAGGTCGTCGTCATGGCCCCCATAATTGTGCTCAATTGCTTCTTCTTTCGTACACCTTGACACCACGTCATCGTCAAATTTACACCACTGGACAGGAGAGCAACGAGACATCAGCAGAGAGATAGCGCTCTGAGCACACAAGCTCTCACTCGGGGTTTTCCTAGAACAGATCACCTATACCTTATGACATACTAGATAGAGGCCCAGTGCACCAATTCGTGCACAGGTGGGGCCCCTCAGCCTGGCCAGTGACTGGGGCTGGCCGGCCAGGAGGAGGACCCGCAGAGGTTGGCTGTGGGAGCATATTGACCAATACCAGGGGCAGCTCCTGTGCTGAGTGTCTGCCCCCTGGTGGTCAGTGCGTGTCATAGCAACCAGTCGTTTGGTCAACTGGTCGTAATCGTCGCTTCGGCTTTTATGTATAGACCAGAGGCCCAATGCACAAAATTCACCCTCGCAGCCCCGGCTTTGTCTGGAAGGTCGTCCGGAAGGATATTCAGCTGTCCAGTTTAATTAGCACATTACACTTTTATTATTACAGCAAGGGCCTGACTTTAAAAAAAAGCAGAGCTGTTCGAAGCTATGTTCCAGTCTCTTCATCAGGGATTAAGTCATTTTAAATGGTACTCAGCCTCACAATTAAAGATGCTGTGAGGGTTCCCTTAGCATGAGCCAGGCAGGCTCCTACTTTGCCATCCTCCCAGGCCCTATGCTGCTGGACACAGATCCTGAGACCCTCACTTGCTCCCCTGGGGAAGATTATGTATGAGATCCACATGAACCAAGAAAGATGGAGCACTGCACAGTGTGGACAACAGGGCACGTGGAATACCATGCAATCAATGCTGCTTTCCCTGCCCAGGTAGCACAGAACTATTCTGTTGTTACTCCTAGGTGGAAAATAAGTGCCTCATTTTAGTTGTAAAGGAATTCTGTGAGTTCCGACATTCAATACTAACAGAGATACAATCGGAAAGTATGATCACTAATTTAATATTCGACTTTAGAGTATCAGCAATTAATACATATCAGAACATACAGATCAATCAGAGGCCAAGAAGGCTTGTTTGCTAGCAAGCGATCAGGAGGAACAGGGAAAGGCTGGGCTGGCGTCAGACTAAGTCCCCTATAGGCAATCACATCCAACTCCACCCGCCTTCCCCAACCCGGCCCCGCCCAGCACTTACTTTCCCATCCCCTTTGGGGTTCAGATAAACCACATAATGTCCACCATGATTATCTCCACTGTGAACCAGGACTGCGTGAAGAATATAATTTGCAGGGTCCTTAGGATCTGTTTTTTGCAAAAATTCATCAAGCGGTAACTGTTCGGGGAATTCAAACCTATTAAAAAAACATTTTTAAAGAAATCCAGGTTTCATTTACACGTAAAACATTTCTCTCCTAGGCTTTATTTATTGCTAGACCTTCTAAATGACTTGCTCATCTTTATTTGGAAAGGGAAGTAAGAATCTGACTAGGGAGGCCCTATGAACTGCTTCTGAGGCAGCTCCTACTCATGAGAACAAATAATTGTTTATATGTCAATACAAAATCTGAAGCTAGATGTGAGAAAAATGGCTATAAAGCACTGACATACCTAACAGAATGTTCAATCCAAGGGTACAACACAACAGTGAGTCTTGTGATAAATGTACACAGTGACTTTTCTAGGATGGAAATAATTCTGCGTGTGTGTTAATGAGTGATTCTGACAGTGCAGGACTGGGACCACTAAGGGTATCCTGCAGGCTGAGAAATGTGGGGAAATCAAAACTGGAGGACGTGTAAAAAAGAACCCCACCCTATGATTTTTAAAAATACCCTGGACTCTACTTATTTTCCAATTATTGGCTCCATAGCTTTTAAATTAAATGGTAATTGGGAGTGCTGTCAGAGGCAGGAAGGAAGTGAGCTGGGCAGCTGGGGCCCGAGGCAGAGCATGCACACTGACCCCAACAGGGCAGCGCCTGAGCCACGGGAATTCTGGCCCAGTGTCGCCAAATATTCTGAATTCCTAAAAGATGCCAGAAATATGGACTTTTATATGAAATTGTATAATGAAGTTCCAATAAAAATAGGAACAAAACCAAGGTAAGGACCCAACAAAACACACCAGCAGGTTGGATTTAGTCTGCAGACTGCCAGTCTGTGGGGTCTGGTGGAGACAATTTCTTCTATTCTCCACAGGAAAGAATGACAAGGGATAAGCAGATGAGCAAAAACCCAGCTGGTGGCAAGCAATCTGACTGTGTTACATACATTTCCCCCTCAAGTCTGAAGGGTGGCTGACCAACCTGGAATAAGGCACACGCACACCTACTTCAGGATTCCTGAAAATTGTACCACATTCTACAAGTCGACACCAACTGAGATATTACAATATATCGGAGAGTCCTGTATAGACAAATATAACGCTGCATTTGGTACAGCAGAGTCTGTGGAGTGGGGAACACCCTCCTCACAGACTCCAACCTGCCACGTTGCACAGTGGCTAGGGCTCCTTGAGAGGGCGATACACAAGAGCAGCTCCAATTTTAAGCAAAAGTACTCCTTTAAAATGACAGCTGTTGGGCAACTAGGTAGAAGGGAAACCTAAATACATCAGAGAGGAGACCGAAATACATATACAGACTAAAAAAAGCATTGAGATTAACACCCCTCCCCCCAAAACTCCAGTGAGGATTAACTCACACCTCCACACCCACTTAGATTACCTATCATTGATCTTGATGTTTTGGTCCGTCTGAGGGTCATACATAAATCTCATCAGTTGTAGATGTAACACTGGTGGCAATGTTAGGAATTTCACACCTTTCTCTGCTTCCTGAACATTGAAAAAGAAATGCAAATTTAGTTCAAAGCTAGTTATTTCTTGAAGCAATGAAAGCAGCAGTATCTCAGCAAGACTGGAACGTGCTAGGGACTTCTGATAGGGAGAGGCAATGTTTAGGCATCCATCTAGGGTGCCTTTAAAATATTTAGACCTAGTCCTGGCTGGTGTTTCTCAGTGGTTAGAGTGTCGGCCTGAGCACCAAAGGGTCATGGGTTTGATTCCCAGTCAAGGGCACATACCTGGGTTGCAGGCTTTATCCCCAACCCCAGTCAGGGCAAGTGCAGGAAGGCAACCAATGGAAGTGCCTTTCTCACAACCATATTTCTCTCAGTCTCCCCCCTCCCTTCCACTCTCTCTAAATAATCTTGGAAAAAATATCCTCAGGTGATGATTAATAAAAATAAAAACAAAAAATTGAGATCTATATTTACTGCATGTGAGAATTCCCTAAGGATGACATTCTATCTTGATATCCAGCAACAAGGGAATAGTTGAGTAAATTAAGGTTTGGTCACTTTCTGACATATTTTATAGTCATTGAACACTATGAAAAATATGGAGGAACACAGAAAAAACGACCAGGTGGAAAAGCCTAAGAGCAAATGCAGTAACGCAAGCGAAGGAGTGCTAGGAAGACCTGGACAGAGCCGCACGGTGAGCAGCTATGCTGGGGGGACTCTCTGTGAGCGGCATCCTTGCCCCGGACTTCCATCTTACTATGGAGCACACACTGTGGAGCACACTCACACCACTTACTACTCAAACCACATCTGAAGAACGTTCCGAGTCAGTGCCAGCAACATGGCCTCTCCCTGCTGCCTGTGCAGACACCCCAACTCCCAAACTCGGCTCCTCCGGGGCCTGTGCCTGCACAGTGCTCACGCCTCTCCCATCTCTGCTCCACCTCAGCCAATGCTTTTTCCCTCACGAAAGTAAACCTTTGCCAACTCAACCACTTCCAGGCCACCTGTGACCCTCATCAGGTTGATTTCCAACCCAGACTTTCCCTCGGCACTTTAACGACCACCTAAAGGAACTGGTGGCTGTGTCAGGCAAGCTACTTGGCAATGCTCTATGATGGGCATTAGTGTATTTAAGGGGATAGGGCATCTGGAAGGAAAAACAAATCCCAGAACCTACTGCCACACAAAGGACTGGCATGGTTTCAATACACCCTGAAATAATAATAAAAGAACTATTTCTCCACCACTGTCACCTGAGACTATGATGCTGAAATACATACTGCTCGCCCAGACCCCAAATATCCAGTGTGGATAAGGGTAACTCTCGTGAGTAACACAGGTATGTCCTGGCACAACCAGGCAACTTACTGCTTGGTGTCCCGAGTGGCCCGACCAAGCAGAAGAGCAGGCCTGTGGCCCACTGCTAAATGGCACATCAGTACCATGAATTATCTGACCGTGGACGCTCCCTGCTCTGCCAGAAGCCCAGAGCTCCTGAAGGGCAATGTGAAAACAAGTGGGGCACCAAGTATCATGGAACAGATAACAGAAAATGACTCCTCATTCTGGAGTCAGGATCCCCAGAAAACTGTTACCACCAGGCAAATGCAGACTCCACGTGCCTAGGAAATTCCATGTGTGACTAGGAGAAACTAAGGAGAGCCCGTGCACTGACACCAGGAACGGGAGAAACAGAGTAACGAACGAGTGAACTGGAAAAGTCGTCAAGCATGGGGACAGAGCCTCAGGTGTGCCGGTGACAGTCCTACCTCTGACAACAAACTGCTTCAATGCCCTGCTGACACCTTCCTAGCCCTTCCCGTTCAACCCCACCAGCCGCACACTCAGAGTTCTCTAATATATACTGTCTAGGCTAAGATATGAAATCCTCTTGAGTTCTAAATAACAGTAGCATATGGAAAGTCACGAGGAAATTGTTAGTTCACAATTAAGCAAAAGATTTGAGAAGAAAGTGAAAAGCTACACCAAGACACTGGTACAAATGTCCAAGTTACCTGCAAGCCGTGCTCCCCGGCATCATACTTGTTGTCACCGTCTAGTTGTTCTACTGCCACATAATCCACAAATGATTCAAATACTTTAAAGAGAGAAAGGAAAAAGTCAGCCGAAATTATCAGTAAAGCTTTGATTACAATAAAGCCAACGCCATACATTTAGGAATGCCAGGGAAGGGAATGTAACTGACTGACTGCGAGCAGTACCTCTCAGCCCCGAACAGAGAGCAGTTAAACTTGCCATACCACCTTCACTAATCCAGCAAAGGCCTAAATGCTCATGACATGGTTTCCTAAGGTTCTTACAAAAATAACATGGAGTCAGTGTTCTAAGATTTTAATGAAAGCAAGTAACAAATTGTGACCCAAGCACCTACTATAAAGCTACAATTATTAAGAGAGTGTAGAAAGTGAGAGGGAATGGGGGGGGGGGGGGGTGAGTAGGGAGGGTAGTGAAGGGCACAGACTTTCAGATATAACATGAGTAAGGTCTGAGGATCTAGTGTAAAACATGGTGCCTATAGTTGTTAAAACCGTATTGTACAATTGAAATGTGCTGAGAGTAGAACTTAAGTGTTCTCTGCAAAAGAAATACAGGAATGAAACATGTGAGGTGACGGATGTGTTCACTAATCAGATGAAAGTAATCCCTCACAAAGCATACGTATGTCAAATACGATGTGCACTTTAAATATCATGTAAGTGTCCATTAAACTGCATCGCAGAGCAATGAGGAGAATATGATGGGACCATTTGACATCCATGTGGAGGGGGTGAGGGGTGGCTATCAATCTTAACATCCCACACAAGCAAAAAGAACTATTACATGTGGGTTGTAGATAAACAGAAAAGACAGAACAATAACAGATAAGAGAATATCTTATGACTTCAGGGCAGATGTTCTTAGGACACCAAAAACAAAGATTGATACACTGGTGATCACTTAAGTTATGAAATTCTGTTACACAAAAAGAGTGAAAAGGCGAGCCCCACTCTGGGGGAACGCCTCAGCGACCCCACCCAGAACTGGCGTGCAGACAGGAAGGCTCCTGTGCTACTGGTGACAGTAACAGGAGCCGGACTTCCTCTCCTGCACTGGACTGGTAAAACCCTGGACTGCGTGGAAAACAACACTGCCCACACTCTGGATGACAGGCAGTGGGGAGCGGTGACCTCTGAGAGAGCTCGCAAGTATCCCAGCTACACGTACTTTCCAGGGAAGAGAAACTCAAACAGGCCTGAGGGGCCAAGGAAGCTCAAATGTGTAGGACAGGGAGCCCAAGGGAAGACAGCTGTGGAGGAAGAGAGCGCCAGTGGCGCACACAGGGTCCTGGAGCCTTCGGTGAGTGCAAGTCACTGTACTCAGGAGAGTGAGGACATTATCTGGGGCCGGGGGACAAACCACCTCACCGATAGAGGCACGGGCCCCAGAGCTCACACCAGCCTGAGACTGGTCTGTAGTCCCTCCTGCCTCAGGGAAAGCCTCCTAGGACTTCAGGCTGAAACTCAGGTGTTGCCTCAGTTGTGAGGACAAATTAGCCCTTAACTAAAAACTGTTGTGCTCCCACCTGACAAAGTTGAAAAGCAAGACTTGAAATAAATTATTGACAAGTAACTTAATTGTGCCCTAGAACAAAGGTTAAGCGCATGCAATACCCATCAAAATCACAACAGCTGGCATCCAATGAAAGATTACCAGGCATACCACAAAGCCGGCAAACACAGCCATGAAGATGACAAAGGTGATTCAACAGAAATCACACAGGTGATGATAACTTAATGTCCTTGGCTGCAAGTTTTATGAACTGTATTCCATTATGTTCAGAAAGATAGCCATATTACTAATAGGTACTGGAAAAAGTGACCACTTCATGATCTGTAGTGTGAATTAAAACCCAGAGAGCACCATTCTCCCACCAAAACATTCAATCTGGTAACTGATAGCTCCCACACATTGCTTGGGGGGGGGGGGGGGGGGGGAGAGCGCGATAAACCCTTTGGGAAACCTGCTGACTTTATCTATTAAGCTGAACATGTGTGTACCCTGTGAGCCAGCAATCCCACTCACCATAAATGTGAATATGTATGTGCCCCGGAGACAGAAATAAGCATGGCCAAGGAGCTTATGCCTAACAGCCTCACAGTGAAAACAACCGAGACATCTATCAAGAAAAGATGGTTTCAAAACTCTTGTAATACATTTCCAAAGGGGAATGCTGTAAGCCAATGAAAATGACCAAATTATTGCTACTCACAGCATAGGTGAATTGCACAGAAATAATGCTGAGCAAAGTGAGAAAGGCACTACATCCTACATAAATATTTCCAACATGCAAATACAACCTATAACAGCATGTTAGAAACTCAAGTACTAGTGGTTTCCCCTGAGGAGGACTCAGTGATGGGAAGGGCCGGGCAGGGCTGCGTGTGCGTGTTCACTGGGCGAGCTGTGCACGCAGCGTTTGGGCACGTGGCTGTCTATGCTCCAGTTCAATGACAAGCACTTCTGTAAGGAAGCACTGAACCAAAACAGAAATTACCAGACAGGCAGCAGGCCATTGCATGCACACAACTTACTGTTTTTCTTTCCTTTTATGCTCAGCTGGATGTCATAATAGTCTTCTCTCCTATCAGATCGATAGTCCACCTCTTTACACTGGATATAAGACTACAAAGGAAGGGGACATGGTGTGAGTATTAATCAGAACACTGTTAGCATTTTTAAAGTATTCTAAAATCATACTTGAAGAGAGAGAGCCACATACCACCATTTTGCCTCTGAATAATTTAGGTATGGTGCCTTCTACACACGTGCCTTTCATCTTATTTTCCACGTTATCGAGCAACTGGAAGAGAAATTTTGGCCTTAGGAAAATGTTGTTTAATAAACATACAGTAATTTGCAACTTGACTAGGAAATTTCAATGGTCAAATTCTAGACTATAAATATTATGACCTTTGGCATGCAATTATCAAAAACATACAAAATCTTCCTTGGTTGGATATTTACAAAAATATCTACATGCAACAGTTGAGATTAACTCTCTATCCAGCCTTTGGAATGAATTAGTAATCTGTAGTGCCTTTAGAAGAATTTTTTATATTCATTTTACCTCTGTGGAAAAGCATGTAAATTGAGCACTAAACTTAACTCGTATTGGTCCACACCAAGAGATTAATGAGGTTGAGCCTGTCAACAGGATTGACTGGTTTGTCCATGGATATTTAATGAACTGGATTCAACCCAGCTAGTGCTGCAAAAAAGAAAACACACCTTGCCCAGCCAATCACCTTGAATAGCCATGTTATGTTGTGTGTTTGTGTGTCTTTCATCGCAACTGGAAGAATGGGATTTGCTAGTGGCTAGAGCTGATTTGGGGGAGAATCACCCACACAGAGCTCTGCCTCAATCAGAACATCTGTGCAAAGGAGGGGCCTGGACACTGCAGGGCAATAACAGAAGTCACCCTTCTGAAGTGCAGCAGGGCAGTCAGGACGGCTACGTAGCCAACCTGTGATTTCCAGGTTAACACATTAAACGTATGCTACCCCCTATTTAAATTTGAGTTTCCCCTCATACTTCCCTTTCAAATAACTTATTTTCATCCGTTTTGGATTTTTAACTAGATAGATACTGCTATTTCCTTCTGGCCTAATTTTGGTCCTGAACAAAGATGGGTATATCTGAATTATAGTGACATGAGGTAGGTCTGAGGTTTTACTTGAAAACAGCAGACAGTGTTTCAAAATATTAGATGTCAGTAGTATACAATGATAGCTTAATACATACCACTCGACATAGCTCCTGAACATCATGTTGCATGAAGCTATCTAAAGTTTCCCACCTTGGAAAGAGAAAATGAATGTTTATATTGAAACTTTGACATTTAAAATAAAAATAAATTAACAAGCATCTTGGATTAAAAAAAAACTACACAGTAAAATAATCGGCCACTATTCTTAAATTCATTTTCTGAGAAGATTATTTGGGGGGTTATAATTAAAAGATAAACTAAGTTTTATCAGGACACCCAAATGTTCACAACTTTATCTTGTTCTAAACAACTTACTGCAAGAAGAGGTCATGTTCACAAGTAAGTACACATTCACTTAAAAACTATACATGCCCTTTTCCTGACAGGTAAAGCTTTAAGTGGTGACTTATTCCTCAAGCAATTTTCTAAAACCAAGCCCCTATTTTCCAAAGAGGTCAAATAAAATGCAATGATAAAAACACTCTGACATAATTTAAATGCCTACACTACGCTCCCTTTCTTCTAGCAACTCACTCATCCATAAGAAAAGCAGCAGAATGGAAAGGCAGATTTCAATACCTACCCAAATGACTTTGTTAGCTTTTTTGTTCCTACGGGCTTATCGCTGTGTTGTAGTTCATAAAACACCCTCTGCAATGCTAAAGGGACACTTTTGGATGAATCATCACCCTCTGTTGGCATCATGTACACGGCCTAAAAGAAGTCATAAAAGTGAAATTTGATGTAAAAGTATACCTTCTAATATCACAATGGCTAAGGTAGTTTAATAAAGACTTTTAGTTAGCCCCTAAATAGGCCACAAAGTGTGTTTTATTTTTTTAAAATCATAAAACTCTTTAGAAACAAACTAGAAAAAACAAGACAAAATCATTTTTTTAAATTACCTATAGCTCACCATCCAAAAGAGAACCACACTTATGTCATACTTCTCGGAGCAACATTTTTAAACTTAACATTACTTGTAAACAAAAGATTTGATGAAACAAATGCTACTGAAACTATCCATATTCAGCTATCCCCAGGATAAAATCCTTCTATGGTAATTAACTAGAAGAATAGTGCAAACATAAAGAGAGCCAGCAGACCAGCCAGTGGTGCCCCCCAACCAGGAGTCTGTGTTGCCTGCACTGCTCCACGCTGCTCACGGCTCTCTCCTACATTAGATTCAAAGGAGGTTTGTTCTGGCTTAACTATTCTTACAAAAATAAGTTTTACCTATAATAGCTGAAAATTGTATGTCACAGCCAGTAGTTTTCTAACTGAAGAATTTTTTTTTCTGAAGAATATTTTTATAAAGAACTTTTCAAATGATGTTCATGGCTTTCAGATTTAAAACAAACCCATATTATTTCTAGCTCAAAGTAAGGATTATTAGCTGTAGAGAACTTCTGATCACCCCAGTTAGCTTTGAAAGTGTCCAAACACTAAGGAATAAAAATATGCACAAGCATAACACAGGGGCCCTCTCTGGAGACAGCACTGTGATACGGGAAGAAGATAAGACAAAAGTTGGTGAGAGAGTTTTGCTTGTGCCTTAACACTTGAGAGAAAAGGGTGGGTGGAGGTTGGGGAGAGAAATACCATCCATTTACCTTTCGTAGTTGATTTGTGAAAAATAAAGTCTGCAGCAGGCTGTTCATGTAACAAGTCGCTCCCTGATTCTTTAAACCGACATAGCCCGTGTGCTTCTTTGAATCCCACCTACAAGATCAGTTTGAGGTTGAGGGAAAACTGCACAGGACACCCCCTTGCTTCTGCAATGTGTGTGGAGCGATTCGACGAGATGTCAACATGGTGGCCAACATTTCACTTCCCACCATCCTGACACAGGAATGAAGGCCAAGCATTCTCCAAGGTAACAACTCATCAACTAGGCCTGAGACATGGAGGACACCAAGGCCAAGAGTTCTTATCACAGGGTTCCCTTCAATGGTCACTGACTGTCCGCCCAAGTGTGTGGACCAGTGCTAATTCAATCTCAGTGTTCAAAAGCAGCTTAAAACACTGTCTGCTGATGGTAGCATTGCCATCATTTACCAAGATCAGCACTCACAGACAGGGCTTAAATTCTATGTACTTCTATCAAAATGACCCCACTGTGGTTCTATTACATGCACATTAGGTCATGTGTAATCAGCAAGAAGCCCTCTTTTCTGTAATCATACACACAGAAAAGATAAGCATGTGTACTGGCAAGTTCTGATGCAGACTTTTAAACATCTATAGCTTTTTTTCTTAGTCTTTTCTTTTGGTGGTTGGTTAGAAGATAGATTTTTTTTTTTCCTCAGAGTTAATAGTCCACCCCACCCCACCCCACCCCCGCCAAAACAGGAAGCTGAAGAGGATACCACCTGAAAGCAGGACAATCCCCCACCTCCATCTCCACCTTCCCCTGTGTGTGTGTGTGTGTGTGTGTGTGTAGTGAAAAGATATAAACGTGATTGCCACTAAGTGTGACCAATCCTAGAGGAGGTATTTATTATGAGGTCAAATGTCAACAGTACTCTGAATTCCAGGGGTTAGTTCATGGCCTTGCAAACACACTCAAGGTGTGTCAAAATGGCCCAGTTAAAATTTGCACATGTGTGTAAAAGTAATTTTTTAATGCAAGAATTACAAATTACAGATTGTTATTTTAAGAACTATAACCATAAAGGTGATAATGGCTGAATAAGTTTTGATAAGTGTGGCTAAGCCAATTAATATTTTGATTGGTAAGGCTGAAAACCCCAATCTACTTTTTAAGACAAGAGACATAGGGATAAGTGTTTTTAAATGAAGGGGGTGGGGAGGAGATCAAAAAAATTAGCAATACCTTGTTTCAGCCCCCCACTTCTGATATTAGAATACAGCGTGTGTGTTTTGAAAAGGCAACTCAAAAAAAAGTCTAATTCCTCCTGTATCAGTCCAATTAACATAGAACTAATTAATGTTATTTGCTTTTAAAAAAATTCCCAGTGCCACCCCCAGGCCACATTAGCCAGGACCTGGACTAAGTAACAGCTCCTTCAGGGCCACTCCACTCCTCTCTGCCCCATTCCATCAGGGTCAACCAATGGTGCACTCTTGACCAAGAGCAGGGCCGTATGGAAACAAAATATCACAAGCAAGACACTGGAATCTGTCTGTCACTTAACTTCTTTCTGGAGAGAGTGTTATTATTTCGCTTTGGGCCTTAAAAAGTGTGTTGGGCCCAGCTGATGTGGCTCAGTGGTTGAATGTCGATTCCTTATCAGTGTTGTGGGCTCGATACCAATCCCCAGTGGAGGGCGGATAGGAAGCAGCCAATCAATGATTCTCTCATCATTGAAACATTATTAATGTTTCTCCCTCTCTCTCTCCCTCCCTCTTCCTTCCTCTCTGAAATATATTATTTTAAATGTGTTGGTCTTCTATAACATGATCCCAATTTATCATCTCAGCCTTCAGTTCCACTTTGCACACTTTCCTGATACTCTGCCCAATCCCAAACTTCCCTGCTAGTGTCTTCACTCATGTTGTTCTCCCTACTCCCAAATTCCACTGTCCCTCCTCATCACCCAGTCACCCATCCACTCCTTAAGGCCAACACTTCCTCTTGCACACAGACCTGGATGAGTGACAGACGCATCTCCTAGCAGGCCCTCCTCTAAGCTCTGTGGCACTCCACTCACTACTTCACCGCTCAGTGGGCCAAGGCCCTTTCAGCACATGCTGATGCTCCCAAATTGTACATCCCTGACCTCTTCAAAATAAAAACAGAGCCACTCCTGCTGTAGTTATTTACATACTGGTCTTACTCCTTTACCAGACCAGCATGTACATTCTTTGAGGACAGAAACCCAAGGCTGCCTTGTTGACCCTATAATTATATTCTTAATACACAGCAGGGTCTGGCATAAGAAAACTGCTCTATAAATCTAATAAACAAAGCAGTGAATGTGAAGCTGCATATATATCTGTGTGTTCCATGTGTGCCAAGGGGCAGCACAGAGAGGGTGCTTATCTGTGGAATACATGCATCTCTGATAGTATGAGAATGTTGCCCTCACTACAGCACAAAACACATTAACAGCACCCAATTAAAGAAAAACTTACGCAACTCCATGGGGAGCATCCGCCTGTACAAAGACTTCAAAAGTCACTTTGTCATCATCTATAAATCCTTTCTCAGGATCAGTCACTTCCTATTAAAAAAAAAAGAATATCCAACTTGCATAAGATCACACCAATGCTCCCTTCACTCCAACAAGACAATTATCCCAGTGTCCTGTGCTTAATAAATTAAAATGCTACTTTTTCAAGCATCCCAATTATGCTTCGTTTTGTAGTGTTCTTGGTTTATTTTAAACTGTTCTCTGAACAAAAGGAGGAATCCCAGAGGCAATGGGGGTGCAAGGCCCCAGCATGGAAATTAAAGGATCAGTGTCTGCTCATCAAAGCAGGGATGGGCGTTCCAGAGAACCCATGCTAGGAGACTATTTCCACCTCTGCAAAAAGCAGCCAAAATGCACTGACTGGAGAGTTCAGGAAGGTACCTACAACCACCCTGCACTATGTCTGACTCAGGAAAGGACCCCAACTGGTATTATTTCTTTTAAAGGAAATGTACCTAACAGGAAAGCTATTAATCAACTTATCAATTTTGACCAAATGTTGAGACTTGAGTCCTGTTGGCTGCTAAAAGCTTAGCCAGGAAACAAAACCACATATAGATACCTGGCCAACTTATTCTGAAATAAATAGAAGGCATTGAAAAATAAAAGATTTAGGGTAACACAGAATGATGCTCAAGTTATTCACGCTAAACCCACTGTTACTTACACTCCAGGCCATAAAATTGGAAAATCCCCAATCATTTTCTTTATGGAAGAACAAATGACTAATACGACGACTGAATGACTTCTCATCATCTCTGTAATTTATTATCTTCAGCACCGCTTGTGCATGACAAGACCACGACCTGTTTAAAGAAAATAATCTAAGACTTAGGTAACATATTTCATTGATGTTTACATTTTTAAGAACACAGCACACAAAAATTCCCATATTTATTGTTTTTCTCTTTTGGAGGGATTGAGGACACATTTACCTTTAATGGAGAAAAAGGCTGAAAGGGTTTGGGGGTGCCCCTATGTACTGATTTAACCCATGGTTTTATTATTTATTAATTTTTCAAAAGTTTACTTCAAGTTTCTTATAGGTGTATCTATAAAATACATGTTTAGATTTTATAAGAGACTACAGCTTTGGGGTCAGATTATAGTTCTATTGATATTCTTTCTAAAGAATAGGAAAAGCCCTAGCTGGTTTGGCTCAGTGAATAAAGTGTTGGCCTGCGGACCAGTCCCAGGTTTGATTCCGATCAGGGCACATGCCCAGGTTGTGGGCTCAATCCCCAGTGGGGGGCATGCAGGAGGCAGCCAATCAAGGATTCTCTCTCATCATTGATGTTTCTCTCTCTCCCTCTCCCTTCCTCTCTGAAATCAATAAAAAATACATTTAAAAGAAAGAAAGAAAAGAATAGGGAAAAAATGGTTCTACTAATAAAGTTGTCATCACTTCTAAGCATCATTCCTGCCCCTGGTGGCTCATAGGTGCTGTGGCTGTCAAGTTCTGAAGAGCACCTTCCACACAGGCCTCCTGAGAAACTCTAAGCATGGATACCGAATCACAACCAAGAAACATGACCATAGATGCTGTCAGTCACGTTTTGAGAACACAAAGGGCCTCTGGATCAATGTTTATAAAGAAAAGATACCAGTGGGTGTGACTCAGTGGTTGAACGAGGACCCATAAGCCAAGAGGTCTCTGGTTCAAATCCCAGTCAGGGCACATGCACAGGTTGCAGACTCCGTCCCCAGTAGGGAGCGTGCAGGAGGCAGCAGATCAATGTTTCTATCTCTCCATCCCTCTCCCTTCCTTTCTCTGAAGAAAATAAAAACGTTTTAAAAACCAAAAAGATATGCCACTTTACAAGTCCACCATAAGGTTTACAATGCAAGTAGAGCTTATAAAGGAATGAACTTTGAACAGGCTGCAAACTCACTGAAATACCTAGCACAGCAGGGCTGTCACCTCGGCACTTCCACTTGCTCTGGATCCTTATGCTGGATGTGGACGGCTCACTGTGCTTCCCAACTGTTCAGGCTAAAGCTGTTAGACTAGAATCTAGCCCAATACTCATCAGATCTGATCACAATGTGAACATAGGGGAAAAATTTGTTAATCTGAATACAGCCCTGGCTGCACCATAAAATGGGCTTGGCAGTTCCTAAAAATTCAAAAATAAAAAATAAAATGAGCTGTGTTCCCTGGAGCTTTGACAGAACTAGAACCAGTGCCCTCTGGGGAACAACCTTCCCCAGGGGGCACCAAAGAGCCACAATCAGGAGGTGACAGGGAGTCTATGCAGATGTGGTCCAAGGAAGCAGCTTGGTGACAAAGTGATCTGGAATCCCTTCAAACAGTGTCACAACTAGGGGAACTGATAAACGCTGAACAGTGACAGTTCTTAATTAAAGGAAAGAAGAGTAAAGAAGCTTTTGGAAGTAGGCAGAAAATGTGAAACCTCTAATCTTTGGCTTTACCTGAATGGAGGGACCACCAAAGACACTTCTTCTTTCTAAAGACATTTAATAGTATATCTCTTTTTAGAAATTACATGAATAAAAATTTATTCTCTAAAATAAGCCAAGTAGGCTCATGTTGTAGAACCCTCGAATGTTTTCATTTGAATTTTCTGAATAACCCATATGAACTGATTAACACAAAATGAGAAAGATGTCAGCCTAAATAATTTTTCTTAACCAAATTTTCCCCTTGGAGAGTTACTGCTGAAAAGGAATTAAGCCTGGTAACCAGTATTCAGCTAATCCACTGGGCCCTGATTCCGTGTTCATACAAACACTTCAGTTCTGTATATGCAAGAAAAATACATATCTTTTTAGTTTGGATATAATACCTACCGGTGAGTTTTAAAGAGGGAAATGTATTTAATTTAAAATCAAAGGACTGTAGAGGCTTAAGGAAATTAAAAAAAAAATTCAAAGAGGCCAAATGTATTATAACTATCTGTGGATTTGTAATTGCATCATTTAAACTGTCTTACGTGGAATCAGATTCAGCATTGCACTGGAGAAAGAATCCTACGCTTTTTTGGTGTGGTCTGTCTGGATAAAAGCGTGGCATCACCATAATCTTCCATGGCAGATTTCGCACAAAACACGGAGGGCTAAGGACCGACTCACTCAGTCTGCTGAAGCGCTCGACAGTGAACTGAAAGGTTGCCTCGGAGCGCCAACTCGTGTCTGCAAGAAAACACGTGACTGTCAATCAGAGCCCGTAAAACAGCCCTGAAAGCACCAACAAACAGGAATAAACTATTCTACACAACATCAACTAGCTGCTAAAACCTAGCTCTCTGGAAAAATAACATCAGCCCAATTTACTAATAACCTAAAACAGCACAATGATATGCAGCTTCTGTGTGAATGAAACCCCAAATTCAGGAGGCTAACAACACACACCTGCCTTCCCTCCTAGATTTTTAAGAGTCCAGTGTGATAAGAACAGCTATTCAACTTCTTACTTCTCACATAATTCTTAGTGCATGGAGGAGCTTTGGAGAGAAGGGATGAAACAGGTGGCATCTGTCAAGGTCAGGGGTTGTGGGGGGAGAAGAAAAAGCCTTGAGACTTAGGCTGAGCTGAAGAGGAAAAACGAAGCGGGTGCTGAACTTGCAAACACAGGTGGCCTTTCGGGTAAAGGGCTATTCCCAAGGAAGCGTGGCACTGTTTAGAGACAAAAAGATTGCTGAAAAGTTAGCCTACAAATAAAGGTTAAATAACTTCATTAGTTCATAATTTTTGTGAAAAATCAGCCTGAACTCCTTAGCAAAAAAAAAAAAAAAAAGGAAAGAAAAAAGAAAAAAATTGGTATTCTTTATTACTCAATGATACTAAAAGGAAATTTAAGGAATTGGGATTTTCTCCAATAAAAAGCAATGTGTTGTTGTAGTGCCTGTTAGACATTCAACTAATGTCACAAACTTTAGAATTCCAGCTTTTACTGATGGTGGCTATTCATTTACAATTGACACAAGCGCCAGATTAGTTTTGATAAACCCAGCAGTGTCCATATCGACACTTCTTAGACTCCTTGTGTGAAGGAGTGGTCCTCCCAAGGCCACCCGCCAATCTATCACTGCCAGCACTTCATAATAAAGCATCGTAAAACTGCCACAGCAAGGTACATGCTTCTAAATGCTTCCTCTCGCTTTCTGTACCTATCCCCTTGCAGACTGGGAACAGTTTACAGACGGGCAGGGGACCAAGGGCTACACCTTGAGGAGCCACAGTTACTTTACAGAATAGAAGGGGCAGGGAGGGTTTAAGAATCAATGCTATTTTGACATCCTGCCCGACTGGCTCCTGAGGTCCCCAATGAGACTGGAGGCTTAGGGGAAGAACGGGTTAAGAGAACACTCCCTCCCTTCATCCTTCAGTCTCTACACTGCACCGAGACAGCCAAGTGCTCAGGATACAGACTTCTCAGTGTACACAAACTGCTTGATTTGTGACTAACTGATTTGTTCTTAGGAAAACATGTCCATCAGTCCTCATGAGAGGTTAATATTCTTTACCAAAAAAGAAAAACCAAACGTATGTGCGAAAGCATTTTTACCTTCTTTTAAACACTCTTTCTTCATCCCTAAGAATTTTTCCTACACATAACACTGCTCGGCAGTTTACAGTGAAGCCCTTTAAAAGGAGAGCAGCTGAGCAGGGGTTAGTCACATCTAAGAGGTGATCGCATTCTGAATTCGAGCCTCTCCTAGTGGCAGGCAACCCTAATCCCTTTAATGGATAATAAAGTCCACTGAAAAGGCAAGAAACTTGCTCAAGAGAATGGTGTGTGGAATAGCTGAGGAGAAAAGCAGGCCACTTTTGCATAGACACATAGGTCACATTTGAGTGGTACTTAAATCCTGCAAGGTAAGCAAGGACAGCCAGTACTTAATTCCCCCTTTACAGACAAGGAAACTGAGGCTCCCTGAGGTTTACTGGCTCATCTTATCCAAAGTGTTTTACAAAGTGACCACGGGAGTTGGTCAAGATTTGTCAACGCTAAGCACAATGACCCTGCCTCTGATTTGTAGGATGCCATTCTAACACTCCACCAAACACAGACCCCAACAAAACTGACCTGCTTTACACTGATTGAAGAACTGAACAGAACCAAACGAAAAGCACCCCAGGACACTCACTCCTGGGGCCTAAAGATTTCGAGGCTGCAAGAGCCCACCTCTCTTCTAATTATGATTTTGTTTTCAGATACAATTCAGCTATCCGTAGGATTAGATTCTTATATAGATAAAAAACTGACACCTATCAGTGCTTTTCTGTTCTTCAGAATTTAAGTCAATTTCTAAATTCATCTTTCAATATTAAATAGGACCCAACAATAGTGAAGTGAGCGTGGCACTGAGTCCACTCGATGGCAGGCCCGACAGAGGCTCAGTGCCCTGAGCCTGGTGCCAACCTGGCTCATGGTACTTGGGTTGCGGGCACATCCCCAGTGGGAGGTGTGCAGGAGGCAGCTGATCGATGTTTCTCTCTCATCGATGTTTCTGACTCTATATCTCTCTCCCTTCCTCTCTGTGAAAAATCAATAAAATATATTTAAAAAAAAAAAATAAGACCCAACAATAGTGAAGTGAGCGTGGCACTGAGTCCACGCGATGGCAGGCCCGACAGAGGCTCAGTGCCCTGAGCCTGGTGCCAACCTGGCTCATGGTACTCAGTTCACACTCGTTGAATTATACACTAGATGTGAGATTCTGCCTTACACTGAAGGCACATTCTTAGAACTTATCTTCCTAAACAGGAAATTTAACATAAATAGAAATCAAGTAAATAGAAATCTTACCCCATCACTGGAAATTATTTATACTAATTTAATAACTCAAATTATTTTGAATACAAAAAGGTCAAAACAAGAGAAGCTTACTTGAAACCCACCTTTGACAGATAAGGCTGGCCTGCTACAGCCCTATAAGGAATTACAACAGGATAATATAAGTATTTGCCCAAGAAAATAAATGAAAGGTCCTTGGAATTCTATGTACAATTTTTGCAACTTCCTGTGTCTGTAATGACTTCAAAATTAAAAGTGTTTTAAGAAAGCAGTAAGCCTGGAATTATGAAGGATACCCCACATCCTGCAGTGTTAGTATTTCATCCAAACAAAGACTCTAAATTGCCAGGATGCCACAGAGCACCTATCACTCCAAGAATCTTTCTATTATAAATAATAGAACAATGAGCTGTGTTAACTGCTGCCATCAGACATCCTCAATCAGAAAACTTGATAACCCGCTACTTTCCCATCCTGTCTCTGAAAAGCAGCAGCAGCTCCCATCTAGTCCCCAGCTACCATTATGCCTATTCTTACAACAACCTTATCTTCACAGGTCAAAGGCCAATGTACTGGCCTGAGGTTTAGTTTCGTGAAAAAGTAGAGGAGCCTAAAATACTTGGATTTTCTGAATCAGAAAGGTTAGAGTGAAGTTTTCCCAAATGGCACTCTTGCAGTTGATTGTATCAAGCCTCGAATACAAGTCTTTACAAAGCCCTAGTGAATTCCCAGAAATTTCTTGTTTCATGGGTACCAACAATCTCAATCTAGATCCCTCTAGACCTGCCGAGGCTGCACTTGCTCTAAAACTTCTCATGGTCATCTCAGCAAAGACAGTAAGACACTAACATCAAAGTACAGTAGGTGCGCACAACTAGGAAATGATTTGATACTTGTCCACAACTCAGTGTTAACAGGATTTATGCCCTCTACCCCACAAACATTTTTCCAAACTATTAGCTACTTAACTTTTGTATAGGAAATGTGCCTTACACTAGGCCTCTCTGCACAATTAAGGCATTGATCATTGAAATCCAGTGTTTTCCAGATTGAGGTGTTAAAAGGAGATTCAGGGAAAAAGGGTTCTAAAGTCCAGAGTTTTGGGGAATCATTAACAAAGAGTCTTTTGGAGAAAGATGTTGGGATACTGAATGACTCAGAGACCTATACTACAGAAACTTGTTTAACCTAGCACTCCTCAAACTTCCTAGATTCACAACACACTTATGTCTTGTAGAAGAGTGTTTTGAAATACACATGATGGCTGGGAAAATGCTTCCCTCAAGGCTTCTACGCCTAGAACGAGAACCACCTCCCTCCGGTCCCCTTTGCCATCAAATAGAAATGATTTTTTTTTTCATTCTCTTACTCCTGGGTCTTTCAAAAAGCACCTAAAATTCAAACCAGGAAGAAAGTGCTATTGAAGACCACTCTACTTTCTCCTATAATATGCTTTCTCCATGTGGTAATTCACAACAGGAGCATTTCCATTTTTAGGTTTTATGGTTCAGCATCATTACTTACTACTAATAATTTAGTAAAATTGCTTTGAGAGAAAAGGGATTTTACATACATTATGATCTCATATAAGTGGTTCACAAATGAGGCCACTCTGGCTCCAAAGAGACAACTGGCAGTATCTAGATATTTGGTTGTCACAGCTAGGGGGATGAAGGTGGTATAACTCTAGTGTCCTATAATACACAGGACAGCTGCCTACAACAAAGATGACCCACCCAAAAGTCAATAGAACCGAGGCTGAGACACATGCCCTTTTATCTACACCTGTGCCTTCTCCCAAGCCCTCTGCCCATAAAAACACCAGTGGAAATATCAGATTGAAAATGCTCTGCGGAAACTAGACTGAGTGCGCTGTGACTGGGTTGGGCAAGATACTGCTCCACAAGTGGTTAGAATTGGTCCTTCACTCACACCTGGCACATCAGACCTGGCTGTGCCTTCCCACTATACTCTCTGAATTACTTTTGGCATCTCCGGTATCTAAAATAAAACCAAAAGCCCAGCAACCAGAGACCACACCCACACCGTTGCCCTTGGTCTAGAGTGGAAAGCGCACTCCACAGGTAATAAAGCAGCGGGGTTTAGACCACTCTTCTTTACCTTCCTCAGATATTGCCTCAGCCAGCTGCCAGGGGGTAAACCGCACTGTCAGAGAAATCTCAACTACGGCTGCAGTTTCTCATGGAGGCTGAACTTTTGGCAGGAGGTCTGAACAGCAGTCCTTCTGGTGGTGCAGCCCGTGGCTGATGAGGTTTCTTTCAACTGCCCCGTTACACCCCTGGGAAGGACACAACCCTCATGAGGATTGATGGACATGCTTTTGACAGAACATGGTTTCATATTACACTGCAAGATTCCAGGGGCTGCATAAAGTGATGACTGGCTGCTACCTGCTCACGATTTCTGACCTTGCCAATGTACAGGTCATATAATCTAATAAATTGTAAAAAAGAAACTGCCTCAAAAGAAAACGATTCCCTAGGCATAAAATGTCCATGCATGTACATATGCATGTTTTTTGCATAGAAGATATAGACCTAAAGTTAGTGTGGGAGAATGAAGTCCAAAGCTTGGTCTGATTTCACACCTAACAGGAGTGGGGTACAGACAACTGGTAGACACAATGCACTAAGAATGCAATGGAAAGCCAAGTTCCAATGTCTGGAAGTATCTTGCTGCCAACAAGAAGGAAAGGAGAGTAACATGTAATTATTCTGAATACTAACAGTGGCCAGAAAATTGCAGGCCTGTGTACCTATTATATAATTATAAACTTCTGTATTTAAACCTTCTCACCTAGGCTGGGGAGAATCAACTTACCTTGAAATTTGTAGGTAATCTTGAACTCAACACCAATTCAATGCCCAATTTTTCTTCAGGCACAACCTCCTAAAAACTAGCTACTTTCAAGAAACTCAGAAGAACTTGAAGAAGAAATAGGCATCACATCTACTTGTGTTTCTGACAGAGTTTCTGTCTGGTGCAAGTAAGCAGACCACACGTACTTACCATCCTCCATGTCTTCCTCTGTGTTGTTGTGCCCATCACTCATGGCTACATTCCCGTTGATAACAGGGTTTTGAGTAATTCTTGGTGGGTCATCTGTATCTCCAGCTTTAAAGAAACAAAGAAATTCCATGGTTTTTACCTTCTTGGCTTAAATTAAATAAAACTATACTGGTACTTTTGATGATTTCTAGGCACTAATAAGTTACAACTGTGTCAAAATAAATGCACCCTAACCCAAAAGGCATTTATTAGTACGTTTACTAAATATGAACTTGGGTTGATTTCCAAAATGCTAAATGTACTTTAACATGCACTATTCCACATAGTAATCTGCTCCATCTGCAATGATATTTACTTTGAAGTAGGTTTCCTACTCATTAAAACCAATCAATCCTAGAGAAAATGTTGATTTATGAAATATATACAAGAGTGTACAAACGTTATATCTTTTTAACACAGATACACATCAGTACCTTAAAATATTAAATTATCATTCTCAAAGTCTCTGGATAATTACTGTATAACTGAAGTATAAATCCATGCAAAAACCATTCCTTTTACCGTTGCTTAACTTGCTCAAACCCTGAAACATGTGTGCTTTTTGGGGGGCACAGGGAATTGGGAAGGAGGCCCCTGGAAGGATTGGCATGTATAACAGGCCCAGAAAGGACCAAGAAACTAATAAAATGATTTTTTTTATTCTGAATGCTTGCTTAAATATGTCTTGGAAAACATTTACATAGAATCAGAAGTGTGGATTCAAAACTTTTAAGCAATGGCTCGGAAATATAAGGTGTCAATTTTAACTAGCATTCTCATCACTATTTTTACCAATTAATTTAAAAACCATCTTCTTTCACTGGCATAGGTCCATGATGTAAAAGAAGAGGGGAGTGGAAAAAATGATGGAAAGCCAGGACTTAAGTAGTCTCTACTGGTCAAAAGGGCCATATTTCACATTTTTAGATCCTTGCCATCTTCCACATATCAGAATAGCTCATTATAACTAACGCTGGTCCCCAATTTAATCAGTGCTGTGCACTGAGCTTTCCCTGGGGCATCAGACACTTCCATAGAAATTAAAGAGTCTCAGCTACAAACAGGAGATTTAGTTTTAAAAATATGTACATAGGTGTGTCCTCGACCTCCAATATTTCAGAGTCTTTCCAGCATTTATACCAGCACTGTTCGATTCAGCACCATGGATAGCACCATCCCTTTCCCTCAAGACACTCCAAAATCCCAAACTATCAGATTACATCTCTCAACCAATTCCTGAATATAAACTGTACTTTCCCCTTCTTAAGCATCACACACACCTTAGAAATCATTGGAAGCCAAGAAACTGGCATTACCACCACATTTCAACAGACCATTTCCAATCTTAATACTCTTAATTAAGTTGTTCTATTAAATATCAATATATACACTTAAATTAACAATGAGTTAAAAACTATTCTTAAAAATAAATCTTTTTCTAAAGTGGTCCCTTGACCACTACACCCTGACAAAAAAAAATTGGTGGAGGGAAAATATGGCAAAGAGAAGTTCCTTTTACCGTTGCTTAACTAGCTCAAACTCTGAAACGTGCTTTAAAAGCAATGAAAAATCAGGTACTGTGGCCAAAATGTCTTTCACCCACATTTATCCTCCAAAATTAACTACATGAAAATACCACAGAAATATTTTATGGGGGAAAAGTAAAAAAGTCTTGAGGAGGCTTATGAAATTAATAACACACAATCCACTGATAGAATATTGCACAGCTGGGTACCTATATGGAAAATTCAAGTCAAGTTAAAAAAAAAATTAAGAACCAAGCAATAAATGCAGCCTTTGTTATGAAAGAGATAGAGTATATTGGAATATGTAAATTATTCTTTCTCTCTGTACGAATAAGCACTGAGAAAATACACAGAAACTATTAAGAGGTTCTATAGAAGCTGAAGAGTATTTTTCACCATATACACACTCTCCCGTCATGTGAATGTACTATAAATTTTAAAGTAATTTGTTTGACACATGCCCTATACTTTTAATTTAGGTCCTTGGTTTAAATCTGTCCGACTGCAATTGCTTTAAAGTATGATTTATAATGAGCAAATGCAAATATGACAAATAATTCTCTGTGCACAAAACAAAGCACTGCTCCTAAAAATAGGGTGATATGTAAAGGTAAGCAATCTAATAAACTATGGCAAGTGTTAACTTGCCTGACCCATGATTCTGAGATCCAAGTGAATTCAGATTATTGCTGAAAGAAAGTATTTTTAAAGATCTATTTTGGTGACTTGAGATAGAGCACTTGTTCACCAGAAGTTACGGTGCTCATAAAAGTAAAGATCGATTCAAGAGATCTTATGGATCACCATCCACAACACCTTAGTGTGGGTTGGGGAAAATGAATAAATTGGACCACAGTTTTTTGGCAGCAGAATTAACTGCAATATGGTGAATAAAGAGAATCTAATATTTTATGAAACGAGAGCTCCTGTTCTATTGTTAATGAAGACAGGATTTCTCTGAGTTGACCCCAGAAGGCAAGGCAGGTAGAAGAAACAGTTGAACAGGGTTCTCCTGGACAATACTCCATCTTTTACACCAAGGTACACATTTCAGCTAGGCTGACCAATTTGCTCTTTCCCACCCTTCATAAGCATAAAGATGGGGGTCAGTGGATGTGAAAGGGCACAAAGTCCTAATTGGTCCACCAAGTGCATGAGAATCCAGGACAACAGGCCCCATGAAGCTCCCAACCAACTGCCATGGGACCTTTGTAGAAAGTTGGCAACTCAAGTCTAGCTCTTGAGGGACTGAATATCCAGTTTTTAAAAGCTCCTCATAAAGGAGTTAGTTCACAGAGGATTAAAAATTTAATTAAGACACAGTAAATCCCTGGACCAGAATTAAATGAAAGTACCCCATAACCACAAAAAGTCTGTACGAGGCTTCCAGAAATATCCTAAATGATAAAACTACCTTCCTTATCATCAAAGGGGTGCAAGATTGGTGTATACATATTTGTTGCTATATATAGTGATCCTGCTCCTGAATTTTATGTCCCGCACAGCTGGAATTTTCCCAGATGTGTTGACTCTCATCTAGCCCATATGAACAACACTAATTTTTTGATACACAACAATCTCAAATAATAAGACTGGAGACATGTTTGGCAAACACTAATGACCATATGGAATGCCTCAAATAAACAGATAAAAGTCCCTGATAGGCCAGATGTCTGCTGGGTTGGGGGGGCGGGGAGCCAATTATCAATGCAAAATATACGCTGACACTCAGAAAAAACAACAGAAATCATCTCTATTACTCATGGATAAGGCTTTTGACAACAAACATTGTGGTAAGTATCAGAGGCATAATTTTAATAAATATGTAAAAAGACACAAAATACTTTTTTTAAAGAGTGAGTTTAGAAACACACAAAAGACTACCTTAGCTAGTTACAAATCCTCTATATCCTCCTTTTTACTGAGGATGTCTATGCTTATGTCAGCTTTCCTTCCTGATGATTTTCATTTGTGATGTCATAAAAGACCTACTAACCCAGAGAACATGGCCAATTGCTATGGAAATGATGCAACACTAATTTGGCACCTGAATCTCCTGAATGAGCTAATAGATGAAGAATATAATTCCAATGTGTTGGCTTTGACATTTTCTGTCACTTCATTAAGATTTCTCAAACCTCCCAAAAAGGCTGGGTTTGGGAAAACCAAACACCACAATAAAACTTTCACAGCCTTTCAACTAAGATAGTTTCAAGACCACAAAGACCCTGGTACACAAAGATCCAGCCATTCCTCAGATTCAGTCTCCACTCAGTCCCCCAGAGTCCTCCTTGAATTTCCCATCTAGTGACACAGCCCAGTGAGCAAAACCAGGACTTGGTTAAAATAGCAGATTACGGATTACCAACTTAGTCCCTGAAGTGGTCGAACAAGCCTTTAACTGCACCTCTTAATCCCAACTCTACCAGATCACACCCTGAATTCCAAATCAAACCTCACCCCCAATCTGTATGGTCTTCCTCCTCACATCTCTCCCAGCATTGAACCCATTTTAAAGAATATTACATAAAACAGAGGTTATCAAGATAAATTAGAACACTGATATCTTTCTGCATACTCGTTTCTTAATTGTCAATCCCAAATATATTTCAGAAGGACAGCTGAGAAATATCAGTATTGGTTCTGGAAACCTATCAAGCAGCATCAAGACTCCTAATCTGAACTCCTGAGTCACCTTCTTGTCCAAGTCTGTGGTTTCCAGCCATGTCTGCATGGCTCTGCAGCAGAATCTGCTGGGTTGGGGGAGGGGAGGGTTCTCTCATCCACATCAGAGTGACTGCATAGAATCTCTAGGAGCTCTATGCCTCAACATTCTTTTTTTCTTTTTTTTTAATTCCCCACAAAATAAGGACCAGAAACAGATTCAAGCAACTTCAACAATTTAAATAATCACCTTCAAAAGGCAAAGTATCTGGCTCTATAGGGTGGCTTTTATGGCACAATACTACCATGTTAGGTTCTCTGTATGTATAGTTAACAAGAACCATTCCTATGTAAAATGTGTGTATATTCTGTGAACCTATACATTGCAAAGAAGTAGTTTAGAAATCTGTAAAACACTAAAGGACAACCACAAAAGAAAATGGTGTGCAGTTATTAAACTTGATGTAGCTTAATTGTAACATTTAATTTATCAAAGGTTCTATTTCCTATGGCAAAGAATTTGACACTAGAAAAACAGAAGCAATACTTGATTTATTTTTGTAAGTATTTAGGATATTTAATAAATGGCTGTCCAATACAGTAACAGTGAAAAAAAAAGGGGGGGGGCCACAATAGCCCAGAAACAGAATGAGGATGTTAACAGGGTTAATGGAGGGTTAATGGAGGAATCTGGTTGGGAGCATTTGAGATCTTGCTCCCCTGTATATGTTGTTAGCTTGACTCAAACTCTTACAAAAATTACAAAAAAAACCCACAAAAAACTTGGTTACTAGTTCCTTAGTTGTTGATTTAAGTTGCTAATGACTGGAAACCGGGTGAGGAGTACATGGGCACACAGCAAACCTTTTAAAAAGA